AAGTCTTTAACGAGAGACGCGAATGACCTATGATTGATCCCTGGTTTTCTTGACAAGTTGGCGCTACCGTGAAGTCCCACAACAGAACAAAACATCTGTCTTATACTCTCTGTTTTTGTTTAATACACTAAATCAGATCAATCAGTGACGCATATAAACTACTGGTACGATTCGTTTCTCCAAGACCACCTTTAACCTATCACATATTTTTATACCAAGTATTTTGTTGATTAGTATTATAATCTCCGTTTAGTTATATCATACAATTTTTTCGTTAATTAGTTTGACTAAATCAGGAACAGTGAACGTATTGGAATACGATGGAATGATTTTGTTTCTCATCATCTGCTTAAATTCTAAACATAATACAATCAATCATTATAAATATACTGTGTTTACTTCATATCGTTATATCAGAAACGTTCTACGCCATTGAGAGTGAGGAAAACAGCGGCAATGATGGGAGAATCACAAGCAGTTTTTAGATTGCAGTCACAAACCGATATAAATTAGATAACCATTAAGAACCTGAAAACAGTGAATATCTATTTCATCCTGGTATATAACTTATTCGAAACCCGCATTCATGGCTGAAAATCCGGTGACTGAACGTCGGACCCGTGGTGTTGTGCACTAACTCTTAACCTGTAGACCGCTAAGACAGCTCAAACGACGATTAGTATACATGTTAGCTTAGCTGAGAACTTTTCAAGTACACAAACCACTACCAAGTACTTTCTCAGATTTAATAACCAGTGTACTTAAATTGATCACATTTCTTAACCTATTTACTTATATTTCCAAGACGAAATTACTTCAAATTATTAAATAGGAGTCACTTAATTGAGGTGCGAAAAATACTAACGTAGGTTTTGCAATTTAAAAACAGTTTTCAATTCGATTTTATTTGCGACTACCGAGTATTTGATATGCTACTATTCATTGTAGTGGCATTAAATAAGGCACTATATATGAAAATACACACTACAGACGAGTGTAAACTAGCACGAAACTCAAACTCAAGATTTGCTGCCTACTACTTCCAACGACTTAGCATCCATATACATCCAAAACTACACATTTGCCTTTTAAACGCCTAATTCAACAGTCCTATGTGTAACAACATTCTATGGAGTTTGATCGCCTTGTTTACATCCCCTGAATTAGCCAAATTGTGAAAAAACACTAGTTGTATTTTTAAAAAATCAAATACTCATTTACTAGCTATCATCTGTCTTTTGGTGGTTCCTCTGAGAGATTTTGAGTAATGATAAGAAATATCACATCATGCTTTATGCATACTTTGTGTCATACTATAATAACTTGCTACTGTGTAATCTTGTAGCTCTGAACCAGTGATAATTTCCGAATTTATATTACTTTGACTGGTTTTAATTCTAGAGGTAACCTCTTTTATCACAGTAAAGTTGAACATTTCTTGTTATTTAAAACTCAAAATATTTTAACTGTGGCTTCATTTTAGTAATATTTATCTATATATCTAAGGCATAGTTTGTGACCTTGATGCTGAATGTATGTATAGCACACCTTTGTAAATACAAGTATATAAAATTAGGTCAAACAAATTTTATTTTTCTCTGGTAACGTTGAATTATCTAGAATCCGATACAACAATAATCTCCAATTTATTGTTATGTCAAGATGTTTGCACTGAAAGAAAGTTTATTAAAATGTCAATTCAATAATGTGAAACAAATTATTAGCCTCTGAAAGTTAATAATAGTAGTAATAATGATACTAATAAGCATTTACATCTTCTAAAAGCATGATTGTACTTGACTATTATAATCGTTACCTGATATTATACTAATGAGTGCATTATATTGAAAATATTATTTAGTACAATCAAGTGTAATAATTCAGAAGTTAGTGTACTGACACTGAATGTTTAAAGTTACCTCATAAATTTATGTGTCAAATATATGGCTTTGTGCATTAAAAATACTCTGGAATTTTTATTTACACAACCTATGGTGTGTGCTCATAACTTAATAATGTACTCATGAAAACGAGAAGGTGCTGGACGGCATCATCAACGTCTGCTTGATTTAAAAGTTAGCTTTCAGTTATTCAATAGGCTTTAAATCGATTCGTTCTGGTGGCTTTCTTTGTGATTAATAGCTTTTGTTCTCTTCAGTTGTTTCTGTATTCCTGATAGCAAAATTGATCGGTTAACTCTTTCTTGATCAATTTTTTTTATAGGTTAATAATTTGTTTTTATGTCAGTGTATCTGTTGGTTTCCGATTGATCAGAGTTCCATGCCTCCGAAAATCGTTTGATATTCTTAGAATTTTCTAAATCCAGAATTTTGACATAAGTAATGAATCACTTACTATTTCTAATGTAATTTTTCTCGTGCACGGGGCAGTTCTTCTTGTATACGATTTCTTAGTTGTCTTATTTTACCGCATAAAGTGGGATGAAGTGATTGTGTTGACTTCTAAATATTTTAAAAATCTTTTGGATTATTTATGAGGTGATTTCCTAACATAGTTGGACAATATCCTGATTTCCTGATATCTGGGGTGTATTAATCGTCAGCATGTTGGCTTGCTGGAAACCCACTTACATATGTCTGTTATTTTCAACGGAGGACAGGCCACCAACAAGTCTTCGCCAACCAACTCTGTCCTGGGTCTGCCTTTCCAGGTCTGTCCAATTTTTGTTCATTCTTCTCATGTCTCCCCATTTCTCGGCGTAACTTTTTCCTTGGCCTTCCTTTTTTCCTTTGTTCTTCACGGTTCCAAGTGAGGTCTTGTCCTGTCATGAAGTCGGGAGCTTTCCGCAGTGGGTGTCCTACCCGCTTCCAACGCTACTTCCTGATTCCTTCCTTATCTAGTATCTGATTTATTCTCTGACACAGTAGGTTTTTGCTGATAGTGTCTGGCCAGTTGATCCTCAGTATGTTGCATAGACATCCGTTAACAAACACCTGTAACTTTTAGGTGATGGCCTTCGTGGTTCTCCAAGTTTCCACCCCATACAGTAGAAATGTGTTGACATTTGTACTGAAAATTCTAACTTAGGTGTTGGTTGGTAGTTGTTTGGAGTTCCAGGTTTTTGTAGAAATGCAGCCCTTGCTTTCCCGATCCGTCCCCTCACATCTGGATCGGATCCACATTGATTGTCGATTATGCTGCCCAGATATGTAAATGTTTTAACGTCCTCCAGGGCATCGCCATCAGGAGTGTATTAGTTGACACATGTGTTGTATCGCAGAATCTTGCTTTCTCCTTTATGGATGTTGAGACTTGCTGGTGCGGAGGCTGCTGTCACACTAGGAAGTATTCAATAAAATTGTTGAGATATGTATTATTACTGAAAACGGACGAAACCATCCTAGTGATATGTTGTATTTCTCAGAGAACCAATTGAAGGGTGACTTGAACAAGTTACTACATTACATGCTTTATCAGGACTGTATTGTTTAAACCTGTGATAACAGTTGGCAAATTTTGTGGATTTTATGATGTTACATATAAGTTGTTTAGTCTACTATGTGACATATATTCTTGATAATTCTATCTTTGCTGTCGCGAAAAACAACAAACACAAGGTCAGGAAAAATTCCAATCAATATAAAGTTGGCACAACCAACTTTTCGTATTTGATTTCGTTAAAGTTAAGTATTAATTATAAATGGTGACTGTTGTAACGTTATCGAACACAAGAGAGAAGTTAAAATTGCATTTGAAGACTGTTATGCACCAACAGTAAGTCCGTAAATGATCCAACTACAAATCAAAACCATAAACCAATGCATGTATACAAACTGAAACATTGATAGATTAAACTTCTTCAGCTAAAAAATACAATTAAATTACAGAGTTACACACTGATTCATTCCTAACAGCGAGGTACAAATACTACGTTTCTTTTTGTAGTTTGTATAGATTGCATTTTCTAGAAGTACAATGAAAAACTATGCACGTGACTCATTCAACTCGGAAAAGCCAACATTATCAGAATAACTGTGAATATTTGAAACCTACCATTTCAAGCTTAACAATTCTCAACTTTTATTAATTACTGTCAATCTATTTCTGATTATTATTATTATTATTAGCGAGCATATTCGTAAACAATTCACTACTAAAATTGCACATGTTTATGTATTTTAGTAAATATAGAAAATCTCAATATTTCTACTGAATAACAATACTGAATCGATCATTGTTAGACCACCGTTAGGAACCTGGAAGCACTGGATGGCCGTTTTGTCCTAGTGTGGGACTCGAACGCTTAACCTCTAGACCAAGTTTCTAATGATGATCTAACCATGATCCATTACTCGATAATGGAAAACTCAACATCTTTGGTAAAATCCGCTGTGATTTATAAATTAAACAAATGGTACTAGAATAAGCATAAATAATCTATTTATTTAGTACACTGCTATTTCACCAAAGAAAATTATTCTTTCTTAAATTAAATAAAAGCGAACGCCCAGTCGAATTTTCATTGCTTCACAAATTATTATTATTCTGCAGGAAGAATATGACAAAATATATAGGTTAAAAGTATCATTGCTTACTTAAGCACAATATAAGTTGAAAATGATTATGTCCGGATATGAAAAAAAAGCAGAGCTTAAATATAAATTCTAAATCACCATTCTTTTGATAAAAACCAGAAAATGATTACTTGTTTGCCAAGAAATTTTAATCCAATGAAAATCACCCTTAATAATAAAACTCTGACAGTAACTACAAGTAAACAAATATTTACTAATATTAATGTTATATTATATAATGTGAAGACAAACATAAGTTCCTATATAATTCAATAGTAATGCTTAAACAAAGTACCGATTAACCTGATCATAGAAAGTCAATTAAATGAACAACAAGTCAACCTCACTCTCGCTTGGTAATATATAATAGTCATAATTATTTATTTGAGGCATATTGTGTACTTATTATTATTTTTCTCTTTCGATCAAGTGTGTATTTTTTTTCTCTCTCTCTCTAATTTCAAGGCTTGTTTATCACCACACGAATCCAGGTGGGCACAGCTTCTAGCCAGTTTAGATCGTCGTGCACAAGCTATACGTGAAGCTTGCGGTGATACAGATAGTGTTAGTCGTCTAGTTGAAAAAATTGTCGATCAATTAGTATCACGTTGGAGTCAACTACGTGATCCACAAATCAATTGTGAAGATTGGCCAGAGAAAGATATAACAGATATTGAGAAATATGTTGAATCTACAACTAAAACAAGTCTGTTGAGTAGCATTCCAAATAATTCTATAAGATATCCACAGGTAGTGTTTACTGTTGATCAACTTTACATTCATAATCATTGATCAAAAGCATCGTTACACATTAAATTGTTTACATGCTTTATTTTCAGAATCCACAATCAGAAGTTAAACGATCTGTAGAAGGCGGCCATCTGATCATTCCAAAAGCATCAAAAATTTCACGTTTCGATATGCAACCTCCACCATCACCAACTGGTAAGTTATAGATTGATATTAATCAATTAAATGGTTTGAATTATAATCATTATTTTATTGATTTTTTTTAAATTGTAAATTTTTGCTTAAAATGAAAATGTGTGTTGTTGATTTCACCGGTCACGTGGACATAAATGAATAAGGTGATGAGACGTTGAATTAATTACATAAACTGATGAGGCCATATAAATAAATAAACACTCTTTGAATTCTCAATGCAAATAAAATTGTACTTAATCTGTCTGAAAATACCCTTTGTATCAATCACATATCAGACCGGAAAATAATTGTTTTATAGGAAACCCTAGACCATGGTTTCGAGATAGCTAGCAATTGTCAGAAAGATTAGCATGTAATCTTGAATCAGTTGATGGTTCCTGTGTGATTCAATCACGCGTCACTCTGTTTCATAATATGTGTTGCTAGTGAGTTATTCAGAACGCGACAGATATCTAATAAGACTGAGATATTTATATTAAATTGTCCCAACGAACTAATATCTAAACAGAGGGCGACACTGAGTCACTTCCGCTTGGGAACAAACTATAACTTGCTAGGCAGAATTTGATTACCACTAAGGGCTGGTAAAAATTAACATTACTCTCTACTCAGTTATCAATCAATGTAATAATTCTTTTGTTGAAAAACGATTTGAAATGTTGAGTTTCTATTGACCAGCTTCTTGCTAAAAGTTTTTTGAAAGACAACATTCACCGTAGCTTAGCATTAACTGAGGAACCATTCATTCATTGTGCGGATGTAATTATATACTGTGAGAGAATGTATCATATTGATAAAAAGATTTAACTGAGTTTTAGGTAAACAATACTTACAAACAGCATAGAAAGACGAAGAACATATTCAGTCAGTAGTATAAAACCAAAATGCTTACCACCCTTCATAATCCGCTACACTGAAAATTTTTATGTGCTTACTGATAGATATTTTCAAAAGGTGATTATCATGGTTCTAACCGGAAATCCTGACTTACTGAAGTTCAACTAGGTCAGGTTAGGAACGGAAACTGAAAGAGTCCATGGACAGTACTCGAGAAACCTAAAAGAATTGATTGTCATTCAGCCCACAAATCATCATGTTGATTCGGTAATCTGTAGTTTGTCCTCTCACCACAAGATATAAAGGTCCTGAAATCGATCTCAGGTTGAGTTGTACGCTCATTTCACTGAAGTCCTTTATTGTGATGAAACAATGGATTGGCACTTCTTGGTTTTTAACGGTTATCTGACTTTCGTAAATTTGTGGTGTTAAAACAACAAAAGATGGAAAAATGTTTGATTTTTACTTGAAGCATTTCAGCTGAAATCAGTTCGTTGAAAAAAGGCTTCACAAGCCACCATTTTAAATAAAAACTAATTTCATCATGATTACATTGACGGTAACAGTCAAAAGTTCTGTTTTACACATAAATAATAACTTTTTCTCAGTCAGAGTCATATAATAACATCTGGTCCGATATGTGTTCTTGATGAAGCACATTATTAAAACCAATATGATTTCAGTAAAATAGTGTTTATTTTTAATGACCCTTAAGTATCACTACAAAAATTGTAATGATAATAATAATAATTCTTTCAGTATTTTCTCTATAAACTATATGAGTAAATCTGGTAACCTTACATAATCATGCTCAGATAATTAGGCTGAAATTTTGCCAAACTGCTTGTTTTGAGTATACCCACTGAAGCGCAACCTGATATGCTGGATAGAAAAACATAAGTATGATATGAAAAATATGACCGCAAATGTAATCCTGAGTGAAAATCACTCTTCAATAAGCAACGTTCCATCCATTAAATAACTGATAAAAAGGTCAACACAACTCTTTGGTATGCCGTATTGAATAAACATGAATACACCACTAATAACTTGAATACATTTTAAGCGTAATATATTACTTTAACTTAATTTTCTAAGTGGTTCATTGGTTGATATTATTTTAATTTTCATTTCACTGGATTACTAACATCTTCACAGTATTACTATATGAAATATAAAGCATTTTATTGAGGTATAGTTGCTCTAGCCAACTTTAAAAATAACAACTGTGATACTTTCACATATATGGCAAGTGGTATCATCAGTTATCGTGCTATATATTTTTCAATATTAGAGTTTTATTTCAATGACTAAGCATAATAATTCATTATTTTATTGACCAATAACTCTAAGAGAAAATCTCTAAAATAAATCTGTAAAGTGATTGTTTAAATAATTTTGAACTTTGATTCGATTTAAAGGTAAATTTTAATTTAAAAATTTGATCACTGAATGTTGATTAATTTTCACAGTTTCAATGTTCACATTATTAGAAATAAGTATTTATTTGAATTGTTTTATGGGGAAATTCAATTTCATTACATCTTACAACTTCTAACTATTAGTTATATTCAAAAATATGTTTATTCAAACAACTTAAACTAAATCTAAAGAGAATTAGATAGGCATTTGTATTTTGCCGATGTTAATATTCAGTACTGTACTTAGTTAGTCTGTGTTATTAGCTATTCAACTGGAAAATCAACAGCGCGAAAATACAGATCCTCATGAATACTTTCAATATTGTTGAACATGAAGACACTGACTATTTGAACTTAATAGCTTAGGAGATAGAACATTTTGAGTTTAAAGCAAAAGGAATTGGGTATGAATTTCAGCGTATGTTTCAATACTAGGATTCGGGTACATACAGCTGACAATTTCCAAATAGGACGAAACTTGTATCTCGGATTTCATCGTTGATCACATACCGAATGCACAAAATAAAGAAGTTTCAATATATTTTTCATCAAAATAAAAATTGCTATCAGTTGGAGAAACGTTTGTTTAGATCAAAAAAGAACTTAAATAGCTGCATGAACATCATAATTTGTAGTCACTTATCATCAGCTCAAACAGAACTGAGTTAAGAATATTTAGAACCTCGTAGTAAGCACAATACTATTAAATAACTGAAGCTTACAGATGATCATTCTGTTGAAATTGATGACTATCATCAAAACTGGTAAGAATCTGTTTTACTTCTGAATCGAATGATTTTATAGGTTACCGATTTGAAATAAAATTTCAAGAAATCTAATTAAGCAGTAAGTTAGTGACCTTGAAATGTTTGCTAGTGTAATCACAATTTCTAGTCATTTAGCCGATTAAGCAAGCTATGGAGCTGTTTAATGTCTACATAGCGCTGTTTTTAAGTGTCTAAAGTTTCAGTATAATTTAGCTATTTCCACTTAGTTTTTCATCACTATCCATTAAATGTTTTCAGAAATTTCGATTTCATTCGTATTCATATATGACAGGTTATCGTGCAGAGTTTGAGACAAAAGCCGAAGAACTATTAAATTGGCTAGATAATTGTGCGGAGATTTTAGAATTAATCACAATGGATAAACGTCGTGCACTTGAAGCAAGTGGGCAAGCCCAAAATGTGAGCCAGAAAGTCAAATCTTTTCATTCGGACGATAACGATGGTTGCGATGGTGATGATGATGATGATGACGATGATGCGGTCAGAGTAATTAATCGTGTAACCAAGGAACTTGAAGACTGGCGGCATATAAAACAACGTGTCCTACTCCTAGGAGAACAATATCGCGACGAATTATCACAAGGTAACAATAATAATATTAAGGATAACGACGGTCGTAATATTGATTGATATCTTTGAATATGAGTATGTGGTTATTTTGACAAAAAAATAACCAACAAAAGTTTAGAGTACCTAGGTGATTTATTGAGCATTGATTAGGACAGATTTTTGAAAAAATCAACGTAACCTGTGGCAATTATTATCTTTACATCATTATAGTATATACTGTAACCATAGACGTTAAATGTTAGTACTTTGTTTAATGTGGGTTTTTTTCTGCGTCTAAACTTTATATTACTTTTCATCAAGTTGGTGTGATTAAGAGCCTTGGATTATTCAATTCGGGACTAATCATCTCGACGTACTCACATTTTAGTGCTGATGCTCACACCAGGACTCTAGTTCAGTAGCTTTTGCTGTCTGGGCTCACTGGGTCATGAAATAATACGTTGGGCATTTAGAACAAAAGATATTGGATTCGGATCAGGCTAGGAACATCAACACTAGGATGTAAATACATCCAGTTGACAAGTCCCGAACTGAATGAAATATGCGTCCCAGAATCCACCGTTAGCTAACCCTCAACTTCCCTTAAAATTGTGACTGTAAGGATATATAAATACGGACCTCTTAGGATTCACATGTGCCGGAGAAGACTAATCATTTGTAGACATTAAGAGTAAGAAAATAAAAACCTCCACAAATGAAAATATACTTTGTCCACCACATAAGATTGACATACGGTAATTTAATCAGTCGATTATGTAGTATTTTTAACTTAATTGATAGATTTTGTCGAGAAACACCTTACATTGATTGATTTAGTATCTACATGTTTAATTTAATAGCCGGTGAAAATATAGAAGAGCTCGACCAATTATTCGATGAAATTGAAGAAAGATGGACATATCTTGATAAATTACTTATTGAAGCAAATCGTCAAGTGAGAATTTCCAAACAAAGTGTTGAATTTCAACAGGAAGCAGCTAAAATACACGCACTATTGACTCGATCAAACGAAGATATATTACTGGATTTGAAAAATGAAGATGATTCGAAAGAAATTGCAGAATCTGAATTATACACTAATGAAATGGAATTGCAATCCGCCATGGAATCGGAAATCGATAGTGCACGTATGTGAACAACCTAAATATTAGTTTTTTTTTAAATATTGATATGCATATCTATGTGGCAGTGGATATTCGATATATTCCTTAGCTTCGTATATTGCCATGCTGACAACCGTTACTATAAAACGCGGATCGTTGTCACAATCCACGTTATCAATACAAATCTAAAATAATCGATACTGTTTTGGAATTATTTATGCAACTAATCATTAAAGCTAGTAGAATAAATAACATCTCCAATTTCTGTCCTATAATTGTAACATGAATTATTGTTATTTATGCAAATTTCTTTATTTACACTCTTGATTATATGTATGTATAAATGAGTAGTGGACGGGTATTGGTGAAAAAGCTCATTCTCATTAGTGTCATGTCTGTTATATTAACGATCATCGAAATATTTTGCAACATCCGCATTTTCGCAAACTTTGAATTAGAAAAGCTGAAAAGTCAGCTGACTGGTCTAATAGTTATGCATTTATATAATTCATACATTTTAGTATATAAGTAACGAGGATATTTTTTAAAGCTATTCCTATGCTCATATGATTCTAGAAAATATAATGCTAAAACTAAGTTGAATTCAATTTGAAATAGTTTGGATTAACCCACTGTTGATATTTTGACTAAAAATTGATAAGTATTGGTTACACAGTTGAAATCATCAATCATTGTTAGACCACCATTAGAAACCTGGAAGCACTGGACGGCTGTTTCTTCCTAGTGACTAGCTTCGTGAGGAAATTCTTGGAGTTCTAGTTGAAAAGACGTGACCAATGGAGTTCAACCCTGTCGAGTGTAGGCAGTAACTACCAAAGACAAATAGGTGAGGTCGCGCAAAATCCCTAGATCAATCAGAGTTAGACATTAACACCTTTGGATGCCGGCCCAGTAGTCCAATGGTTAGGCGTTTGCGCACAACACCGAAGGTCCCGGATTCGAATCCTGCGAGGAGCAGGAGTCGTGGGTGTGCACTGCTGATCAGTCCCAAACCAGGACGAAACGGCTGTCCAGTGCTTCCGGGTTTCTAATGGTGTTCTAACAATGATTGATTGATGATTTCAAGTGTGAAAAAACACAAACCTCCAAAACTCTGCCCCAAAAAAGTCTTGGTTAGTAAAAGGGCATCCTATGCAGATTAACATGAAATAGCTACTATGATACAAGTTTATATAGAATCGATAGTATGTGGCTATCATTTAAAAATGTAATTTATCTATACAATACTTTTTGAATAATCTGATTACAATCTGACCATTCTAATCCGGCTCCAATACACGACATTTGAAACCTACTATTGGAAGAAGTGATATCCACACTTTCATTTGACTTATTGACAAAGAAGTTGGCTACTCCCAGAAGCTTACTACAAAAAGATTAAAACAGAACCTCAACCTTCTTTCTTTAAAGCATTAATCTGAATTCAAATTATCAATATATTCTTAAATAAAACGAAAAAAGTTTTAGTAAATAAAAAAAATGGATGACTTAAAATACAAGAGAGAAATAATAGAATATAGATTGAATAAATTGTCACACTTGTTTACCTCTTCTACATATTATAATCAATTAAACATTACCAGGAAAAATGTAAGATGAGAACAAACTTTTTGTTCTATACATATGAAATTGGTTTACATTTTCGTATAGTATACTCTCTTGACAAGATTAATGTTATTACTTATTTCATTAATAGATTATATCATATCACAATTAAAATTAAACTAATTAACAGTTTTTTCTATATGAATGAACAATTCTCTGTGAAGTAATTAATCCGATTATATCAACAATAAATTTAAATAACCTGAATGGAATGTTATCAGTGTCATACAAGTCGATCTATTTCTATCATAACCAATATTTATAGATTCATTCATGCAAGATAACTTCTTGTTGTTGATGTTAATGGTTTTTCATTCTCTCTCTCTCTCCCTCTCTAAATGACTAAGACATAATAAAATACTGCAGGCATAGTTTATCGATAAGTATCAGTTGGTTGTATTGAATAAAAACAGGTATACATAAAAGAATATAAATAGTAATGTATTGGTTAGCAATAAGAAAAAATTAATTTAAACGTGCATACGCGTAATTGTTTTAGTTGTTCATTTAGTTAATGACAAATTCACTTTCATTTGTATTAGTGAGAAAAATACATTGAAGATGTTAAGAAATAGATATTTCAGGCTGTTCGTATATTCGGTTTACAAACAAACCTGATCAATATTATTACTATAACTCTTAAACGAGTACAATTTCTAGAAAAACTGAACCCGAAGCTTTGAAACAGAGTTCATAATATAAGCACACTTTAAAATGAGACAACCAGCAACCACAAAATGAGATGAGTTTACGAAGGGGGATCAACAAGTAAATATCTATTATCTTATGAGTAAGTCATACGATGACTGAAACGTAAAGGGAAATAAGTGCGTAAGCTGGCGCATGAAATCAATGATCCATATTTTATTTGTGCACGTGTAAAGATGTATATTTATATACAAAGGTATAAGCGAATTATCACGAACTAAAATAGCACTTTCTGTTTATCAAACAGGGTAATTGAAAGGCCTCAATAAACTTAAACATATACAAACACCCTCGTCTATGGATGAGAGTACTCTAAACACAACAAATTATATTGCTAAAAAATGGATAAGAAAGTTCATGAATTCACTGGCTGTTAGTCTAAATTATTCTGGTAGGTACAGTTTACCAGGTTTGGGTTTATTCGGTTATATAGACGACCAATAGCTGCAGACGATTGGCGACATTTTTCAGCATTTGTCAAAATGGCGCAGACGTATTCTTTTTTATCTTTCCTCAGCTCTTAAGTTTTGAACTCAAATATTCTTATACAGCTGATTTATTCGTTTCCAAATGATATTCTCTATTTCTAATTTAGTATACAATCATTAATAAAACTTTTCATCGGTTCTGATTAAATAAAAACACAAGCGACAAAATAAACGATAGATTTAACCACTCAACTAGTGTTATCATGATTCAATTTTAGTAAAGTCAAATGATCGTTTTGAAAAAGAAAAAAAAAAGTATGTAAGTTATGTAAGCTCAACATAAGCATGCAGATTACACACCAAATTACACACATAAGTACGCCCACGTAAAAAAATAATAGTAAGTTACCAGTTAACCAGACAATGGAAACCAATTGAATGAATTGAACTGATTGAAGTGTTTTTTTTTCTTGTATGTGAGAGTATCGACAGAACAATAACAACCCACATTTTATTCACTTATCTTTCGTTTCTCTTACAAACATACACATATGTATCAGGTAGAGAAAAAAAAACGCTATGAAGTCAAGTCTATGATTTTCAACAACAACAACAACAAAGAAAATGTTAGATTGTACAACAAAAAAAGTATATTATGAGTATGTTTTTAATTTTTTTTTAGCATAAGGCCGATTGTAATTCGTACCGTTTCGATAGTTCATATCCGACAGTCTATTGTCTATTGTACATCTATCTATCCATGTATTCAAACGAAAAAAATGATTTTCAATGATTTTGAAACGTAACTATTCGATTAAGATGTAATTCATTCACTTACAGCATTTTCAAATAGTTTCATCAAATAAGCATTCTTTTTTTTTGTTCATAATTAGGATTAGTTCGAGAGAAAATTTCGTTGTTTTAATATCAATTTTAAATTCATTCTTATAGCTAGTTACTCAGTCTAAACGAACCAATTAAACTGATAAACGCTTATTCGTATGGCCGAATGACATTAATCTGGCTTAGATCTGATAATAGAAATATATAATCACTGCAACAGAATGTAAATGTAAAGTAGAAACTTCAATCTAAAGATTTCAACTATATCCTAAAAATTGATTTAGTCGGTTGGGGGGAAGGACAATCAAACATAGTTTCGATTAAGATTTTTCATGTACATTATTTATTCCTAAGCTTCTAACTCATTAATTATTTGGATAGCATTACAAGAAGATGAAGATTATCTGATCTATGTGATATATTAGCGTAAATATATTTTTTGAGCAATCGGATATTTTATATATGAAAAATATAAAAAAAGGTCAATTGGACAAGGACAATGATGAAACTAATGTGAAACAGCACAGTATTATCAGAGTAGGTTTAGGATGACAATAAACTGTTCTTGAATACGCGATATTTCGTGACTAACACTAGACCGATTGTGTTGCTTTTGTAGCTCTGAGAATAAATTTTGAAAATATGACCACAAATATTAAACTTACAATAACCAGTAAGAGCACTTATTTAAACCGTCAATAATATTGGACGAAAGGTAGTAGTAGTAGTAGTACAAAGGGAATGGTGTAAAAAAATTTTGCTAGTGTGTAGGAAACTAATTTAAACCACACTTTATTTAGTGTTGATGTTTAATTTTACCCCTTGTGGAAGTATAGGTCGCCGAACATAATTCTTAAACCAGCTATGTCTTCGGGTCTCATTTCCACTTGTTCCTAGCTGTTATTAAGTCTTCAATTACCGGCGCGATGCGTTTTTGGTACGTTTCTTTTCCTTTTACCTTGAGAATTCCAAGTTATGGCTTCCCTTGTGATACAGTTTGGTGATTTGCGCTCCTGTTTTTTCTCTCATTTAATCATCAGCTGGAAGCTGAACTGTTTTCTGTCACAGTATGGCAACCGATTAAGAGTATCTTCTCCTAGAGCCTTTCTAGAGGTACTACGAGACCCAAAACAGGGTAAAGTAGGGGGTTGCTAACAGAATCATAAAAAAGTAATTTTTTTCTTACTACACTACCCAATTTTACCAAAAGAACTTGTTGTTTTGAATTTCATTAATTATTATTGTATCGATCATTGTTGATCGATCGCAAATATAATGTACTTTAAATGTCTTATCTAAATTGATAAATTGTTGTGTATTTTTCTGATAAATTGAAATATTAACCAAGGTCACAAAAGATTTTGACTGTTTGTCATCCTAATTTCTCTTATCATCTGATTCCAAGTTTATGATAAATGGAGGTAAAAAGGTCATTTTTAGAAACACTTAAAAGTTCTAACATTTTCGTAATTTGCCATAAGTATTTCTTAGTTTCTGCTTTCATAAACTCAGTGCTATAAATATATGTGTTTAAATTAACATTTTAACATTAATATACTGATTTGATCAAATAGGAATATCTAAATCTGATGAAGAATTTATTCAATGAACTTAATTTATCTGTTTGTTTTTTCTCCATATTTTTCTCTTTTTAGAAATTCATAAAAAATTGGACGATATCAAATCACTCATAGCCCAAGTGAAAGACGCTATATCTCAACCAATCAACATTGGTCATCCTGAAGATGCCGATGAACAACTAAGCAATTTAAATGTATGTTTATAACAGTGTGTCTATTTTTCTTCGTTATGCGCAGTTTCTTTTAAAGGTAGTATCCTAATTCAGAATTACTAGTGAATTACACAAGGATCGCTCTTATTATGAATTGACTTCACTTAGAGAGAATCAGTGAAAATCGGGGTGGCGTTAGACACTAGTTTTGTTATAGTTTGTGACTAACCGATCATTACGTACCAATTATTACGTCATAGCTAATATCCAAATGCAATCTAAAGTGGGACTAAATGAAAACAAAATAACCGATCACCGATTTATATTACTAATAATCATATGTTTAAGAGCGGACCCACAGAGTTATATTGAGAAGCCTTGAACAATGAAGCTCAACTATGCTGGGTTTGAGGCCGGTTCCCTCTACAGGCATTAAAAGATAGCTATTTAGCATCTCAAATTGACTGATATTAAAAAAAAATATCGACCATCAGATGGCAGTGCAAAGGAAGTTCATGAAACAGCCAATTATTGTTTCTTTTTGAAAGTTATATTATTTAGACGTCAATTGAACTAACTGAGTATAGTTACTCTGGTGACTCTATATACTCCGCTTGGTAGTTTTTAAACATAAAACCAGTGGAGGAAGTATTAAAATAGAATAACCAATATCGCATGGCATTGGGTATACAAAAACTCCTTGAAAGTTTCTCAAGAAGAAATCGAAAATAATTAGTTTCAAAAATCCCCCGATTCCACCGAACGACCTTAACCAATCAAATAGCGATAGAAAATTTAGAGTAAAAGTTACAATTCAGCAAATGTGTTTTTGCTTAGTCTGGTTGGTTGAACACTATTTACAAATTGATAAATTGGAATGATTATATAAAGGGTAACTATAGCTAGCGGAACAACTCATTCGATCAGAATTGCTAGCCTATGCATATATCAATCTACTTTTATGAGTAAACCGATTATTATTCTGTGATGATTAAAATTAGAACCGTCACCTTGGTAGTAACGCAGCTCTTATAATGTAGTCAGTAAAACTGTCAAGGTAACAGTTGGGAGGTCATCGTTGGTTAACATTTTTTCTACCCGCTACTCAAAATGTAACAATCACTAGTCATAGATACACGAAATAGATAGCTGAGAGTTAGAATATATATCTAGAATTTCAGTTTTTTCGTTATATATTTATATAAATATATTTCATTTATAGAAAATGATCAAAGATTTTGAAGCTACTAGCCATTTTCTAGCTAATTGGGAAGGGAATTCATTCAGTCAGCTGGAATCCTCATCATCATCTTCATCAGTTAAATGGAATGAAACATTAAAAGATTTACGTGAACAATATAAAACTGTTTGTACAGATTTAAACAAACGAATTGATTTTCTACAAGATTTATCGGAACAGCATGAATTGTTTTTGGTAAGTAAAGAAAAGAATCTTGGTTTCATTTTAAATAATCAATACTAATGTTATATGTAAGTAGTCGGTTTGTCAGATAATCACTAATTTGCTGATGAAACAAATAGCAAATGTCGTGGAAAAAATCAATACTTAATTAATTAGTAATCATTTATTTTCGAAGACCTCTGATAAGTGCACATCGATTTGACCAAATGCAGAAGTTTATTGATAGTAACTCTGCAAGTAGTATACGTCTTAGAAGATCACTGACAATTCGAAAATAAACTTCATTTATGAATATTGAATTTAAAGGAGATACGAATTTCCAAATTCCCGAGGAAAACTTTTTATTCAGCCAAGCTTCTTATTGTTTTCTCAGATCAGTCTACCAATCATAGATGTGATGATAAGCCTTGACCAGCACGTAGATGATTGTTTATTTCGTAAATATGTTGTAATTCCTCTTTGTGCCAATAACACTTAGTTCAATAACTCTAAGAATTATGATGCTCTGACCACTGATTCATCACCTAACAAGTTCTTCCACTGTCAAATCATCAATCACTACACCAGAAATATTAGCAAAGCAAACTGGGTATTTTTATACTATCCAAACTTTAAAGCTCTTATGATCAAAGCTCATAACAAATAAATTTTAATGAGTCTATACAGCTAGGACATTTGTGATGGAAAGCTGCGCAATAGGTTTATTAGTTATTTAACGGTAATTTATGAAATATCATATCATTTAATGTTCAAACGAACATTGCTAATAATTTCACATAAAATTTCTGAATTAGTTCCACCGGAAATCACCTCTTACATATCATAACTTCCTTTCTGCTCTTTTGTAAGAAAAATTTACTTAAGTAACATCAGGTAATGGATTCCGACTCAATTGTTCAAAGATATCAAATGCACTACGAAACCGGATTAACAGAGCCGTATTTTTTTAGTATTATTGTTAACTGGAAAATCATTGAAAAGCATAAAGTGGCTTTATTTTGGTGTGGAGGAATTAGAAAAAATGAACCACTAAATTTCTGCTAAAGGGTTTAGAAGCTAAGTGTTTTCTGTGACAACAAATTTCTATGTTCATTCATTGGAGTATACTTCGGTACAGATTACTTAGAAGTTTAATGCTAGAACAATAGAGTTGCCTACTTATCTTCAGTTTTACATTGATTGTCTCAGTTGAGACTAACATGTAACGACAACTAAATTCAAACCGCTAAGTATCTTGAAACCTCTAGTCTATACTTAATAATCGTGACTTTAATCTCTCCTAATTTCGAGATTGTACATTAGTAAGGGAAAAGAAAAGCTTTCCGGAGCTTTTCAGTTTTCTCCGATTATCAACTTAATATTCACAAAACTGTCCTCAGAATAAGCAGATCATCCATTGACTTTTGAGCCACTTCTTTATTGCCTTCTCGTACACCTCATAAGTATTATAAAATCATAAAATTAGGTTCAGAAAAAAATGCTCTATACAAATTATCTATCTATGAATAAGATATTCCAACAGTTTCCATCGAAATTCTCAAATTTTGTTGTTGGTAATTGTTGAATATATGAGAGGATTCAACATTTAGGAAGCTATTTCTAGAATATAAGAAAATCATCTTTACAGTTGAAATCATAAACTGATTCTAACTAGTATGGGACTCAGTCGTGCGTTTTCATAACCTTGTACGTGGAAATTAGACATGGGATTTTCAGCTTTGCATGCAGACTTTCAACCTTTAAGTTACCGAGTTGGGATAGAATCTCTAACTTCAATCAATCTATGATCTTAAATAACCTTTTATGGCGGATTACTCTCTCACAGCAGACACGGATTGGATTTCACTGGTCATGACTTCGTGACTTCAACTGAGAAAATAACGCAGTCTTCAGAAATCTCCTAAACTAATAAATGAACTGACTGTTAAGCTTAAGATTCTGGCTTTATCACCAAACTTTCACATACAAGAAATCAAACTGTTTGTTATGACTTCGAATATAAATCCTTTATGACAATTGTTAACTCTCGATAAAATTGTCATTATCAGTACTAAATGAATGATTCACTGATTGAAGATCCAATGAAATGTCATATCTTTGTTTCGATAGTAAGAATTTGGAATCAAAGTATTACAGGTTAAAATAACCTGATAAACATGCCTTTTGATTAGACAGTTGAAAATTTTCTGTCCCATAACATGATATGATTGGCCAATAAATAACTAATCCGAAGCTGTTATTTTCTCCGAGATGTAAGTTGCACCACGACAAAAAGTGTTATATATTTTGTGGTCCACAAAATACGGAATTATAATGATGTAACTTTTGAAACATGTCAGTAGGTTGATATATGATAAAACTGAAATACTAGGGTGCTATATATGAATTATATAAATAATAAGGATTTAAGGATGTGAGTGATTGAGTGGTAGAATTGTTTATGAATATAACTTTTGTTAACAGTTTGGTTACATTTTTTAATCAATATGTGGATTGTGTTATCCTCGAATGTGTCCCATATTCAACATTCAATCCATACAGAATGATTTTGTCATCCTGATTGCCATTTAAATTTATTTTTAATAATTGATCAACATTAGTATGATTGTAATCAAACCAAGGATATTTTTTGTGGTCAGTTACATTTTTCACTAGATGCCTTCAAATAATTTTTCGCTTAGTGACTGGAGGTATTCACTGTGGATAAATATCTCAGCACTACAAAGAGTATATCATAGTTCTTTTAGCTCAACGGTAACGTCTTCACACATAACAGTGTGACATGAGTTTAAATCCCACAGAGAACATCAGTTGCCCGAAGAAAAGGCAGACGCCTTTCTGATAATTCATATTTATCACGAAGCATAGATCGAGGATTTTTCGTTAACTATTTCCCACCATGTCACCTCTCAACATAGGGCACGAGATGTATGGTCACTCAGACTGATATCTACCTTACATCATTACTCAATGACCAATCAATCTTCAGATAAGCTTTTAAGCGTTTGATCCCGTGTACAGCCACAGATGTTTATCGTTGAAAACTAACGAAAATAAAATAACTAAAACTGTTTCTTATAAAAATCAAATGTTTTTTACAATCATCCGGATTAAAGTATAATGGATAAAATCATGTTGAAACTAAATAAGAGAAAATTAATGAGCATACGTAAGAGACAAGCATGGATTGAAACACCAGTCACCAATCACATAAGATGGTCATCTCATTATATCATGACTTAATGGAAGTTTGAACTGCAAGCCGCCAGATGTTAAGTAAGTTCTCTAATGGTTAGGCCCTTTCCACGAGATCTAAAACTCATTGTTTTGACGCCTGACAGAGTCAAGCGTGTTCATTGTTCAGGCAGCCTGTACTAGGATCTTTTATACTTATCTCCATAAATGGTATTCTGTTTTATTCAGTCAAATCTACTGCTATAGACTAGGTGATTAGATGTAATCCAAATAAACTACATTATTCTCTGTAAGATATAGCTCTCTGAATAGGTAGACAAACGGTTGTCTGCAACTTCAGTTTTTCAATAGCTGAGCATTCACTTCACTATACATGAGTTAAGTTAAATTAAAATTATTCATAATTTGAAAAAAAATATTATAATTCACAATGTCGCAATCTCCCCTAAAGATTCATCAGAGTATAATACTTTCTTAATCATGAGTTATCATAGAGAAGGAGAAACAGAATGAGTGAATTTTTCGAATTTCAACAAGAGTCACAAAAGTAGGTAGTCGTTCAAAGTAGGTAACTGTTAATTAAAAAAAACACTCTATATATATTTTGAATTTTAAACAACTCAATCAAACACAAATCAGTCAACAAGTGCAAACAGGCGTCATGATTACTGATGCAAGTGTTGTGCATAACTAGAGAGAGTTAAAGGTATAAATTGTCGAAACTTTATGAGAACTAAAAACTTTAACCAAGCTTTAATTTCTAGAAGTCTACAACACTCAGTTACATACTTTATACAATGTTTTGTTTCTACGAAAATTTAATTATCCATCAACAAATTATATGCTGGAGATAATTTCAAACTGTTTGGTTCATAAATTACGTGACGAAATCAAACAATAGATAACTGAATAATATTAACCACGTCTATTTGACGGTAGTTCAAGAAAATCATGACAGAAAAAATAATATTTAACTAATACTTTTCAGTTTTATCGGAACACTTTTTGGACATTGTATAGGCCTTGTAGTTTAAACTATGAACTGATGTTAGCTAGAGCATCACTGAAAACCTGGAAGCATTGGATGTCCATTTCGTCCCAGTTTGGGACTACTCAGTAATGTGCATCTAAGATCCCGTATGTGAAAATCGAAACCTTCGACCTTCAGTCCGTTTCTAATATTTTCAAAAATATCTATACTGAACTAAATTGATTATTTTTTAATTCATTTAATCTTAAAACATGACGTCTAATAAGTATGATTACCTAGGTTTGTTTGGATAATTTCTAACAAATTGAGTATGGGAAGAATTTTAATCGTAAGAATAATATATATGTAAAGTTTTAGTGAGTAATGGATTAAATTTCTAACGTTTCGAGACTTATAGTAAGCTTCTCCTTCAGAGATTAAAAACAGATAGGTGAAATGGCTTACATCAGGTCACACTGAAGTTTTAGCAATATATTATTTATACTATGTTTAATATGTTGAAGACAATGTACTTTTTGCCTAGTTAACTTTTTCCATGGCATAAATGATGTAAATTTGACTGAAAGCAATTATAAAACACTCGTGATTTTAGTGCCTGAGTTATATTCGTTGTCAGGCTTACTACTTTAGTGGTTGCTTTGAACTCGAAGTACGGCTCACCATTTTAGTGGTTCCCAACGACTCTAGTATTTACGAATGATCGAGTTTGCGATGAAGTAAATCTTCCTTTCATTTTCCGCATATCATACTTAGGCGAACGCCATTTGTACGACAACGGTGATAAAAAGCCAACTGTTCATTTGGTCGAATGAGTTTGTTTCACTCAATACTCGTAAAAAAACAACCAAGATAAGAGCGAATAGTTGGCAAAGTCAGAAGAAGTGTGAATAATAACTGGGTTGAAACGGATTGAAAAAATTAGTCCCTTTTATAAATTTTGATCGAACAGTGAGAAGACGTAATTGATCTGAAGAATGTGATGTATTTACGTCAACATTTCGAACAATCTGGTCACACATATACTTGGACTAGTTAAATTGTCTGAAGGCTTGAACAAGTCCTGTAGGGTTACTCTACATGTTTACTTACTGATTTTATGTAATTTTCATACTGAACAAGCAAAATTCAAGGATGATTTCTATTTCTGTTTTACTGCTATCCTGTCGATCAAACACTTGCCTTCATAAAATTTTGTACGATTTTCAGAATTTATGTTTCTTTTGGTAAATTGACAGAGGGAAAGTGTTTGATTTAACGATTTTGAATGTAGCTACGGTAATGCCTTTAGACTAACTGAATCTTTTACCTTAATAAACGTTACTTACTTGTGAGTAATAATCGCTGTTTTTTAAGTCACTTCTCTATTTCACCCACTATTCACATAATATTTATTGTTTCCAACTCAGCAAAACTGAATTCATTATTTAAAAAAAATCTAAATGACAACTAATTAGTAGGTAACTACTTATTAGAGTTTCAGTAGTTAACTGTTTTATGCAGAATTTCCGAATAAAAAATGAGAACTTTTTTTAAAAATTCTTTTGACAAACAAGAATCAATTTGAAGGAATTGAAAAATGGCTTGCTGATATGACAGATTATTTGGATTCAGTATCAAGAGCACATCTGCCATCGGTACCAGTTATTCAAGCTCAATTACAGGAAAGTTGTGAAGCATTAAACGATATGAAAACATTAAAGCCAACCTTACAAAAAGTTGACGAAGTCGCTCATAGACTTTTGGAATACTTTAGTCCGGCTTATGCTGAAGTATGTTTAATTCTGAATAACAGAATACTTTTTGTTTTGTCAGTTTTTATAAAAAATATTTGTAGAGATAGTCAGATTCTACTATGATGTTAAATAGGTGAGATAGATGATGACTGTCGGTGGAAGATTCAAATATCCAATATGTGTGATTTTAATACTTTTGCTGGTTAAAAACTTGGAGTTAATAAAAAAACGATCAAATGATCGAAAATTTTCCACATCGTAGTGATTAGCTGTGAGATGGGTCTCTTAAAGTCCAACTGGGAAATAGTGTTCTATGAAGTCAATCATGTTAGAAATGAGATAGTTATAAAATCTATGACGCTGAGTAATGGTTTCATTTATTGTAAACGTGAAGTGTGCACTATATGAATTGTATTGTACTCATTTCAAGGTTCATTGATCTTAGGTTCAACAGTTTGTGGAATCGAGTGTTTAGGGTATTTAAAATGTCTTTACTAGTATAAAACTTATGCTTGTTTATTAAAACTACTACTACTTCTATTATTAAAAACTAATACTCTTTTCCACTAATTTCCAATAACTCATCATTTAATATCGCTTTCCTTTGTTAAGTTACCTGGAAACTAAGCACACCTGTATAAATCATCCAATATGAGAATTTTACAAGTAGTCATCATTTATTTAGAGAAACCCGTCAACAAATAGCGTTAACTGGAATAGGTAAATGTAAAGGTTGAGAAATAATTTCGGCTACTTAACATCCACGAGTAATTCATTGAGTTTAATGAAGTGTTCACTTTATTTGGATATGACTAGCTGATTTAAAGTTCAATAGAACTCATAAAATTGAATGACTAGTGATGAATTTGCCCAATCAAACATTTCGTTAAACCTTCGCTATTCCTAATGTTTCACTATGAATCTATCAGAATTATTAATTTCTGAGGTTAAAATTCATAAACAGCTATCAGTATGATAAATCGTAATCAGATTAACTTAAACTGAACTGATTTAATCAAATAATAGTTAGGATTGAGGAGATCAACGTTGGCTACTATCACAACGTATTCAGTTATTCAGATGTTAGTGATCAGGCTAAGTGGGATTACAGATTTGTCAGGGTAAAATGTGGTAAACCGAATTCCCTGATCAGGATAAATACGAACATTATTAATTCATAAACAACCAGTGATTTAACTAACAATGAAATAATTATTCTCTAATTCTTTTTTTTTTATTAACAATAATGTTAACAAAAAACAGCTTACCACTAATCGACTTCAAGCATTGCATAATGACTGGAATGAAGTGAGAAATTTAACAAAATCAAATAGAGATCATTTGAGAGCTAAATTAGCTGAAGCGAATAATTTAACAATGATGGGTAGAAATCAAGAATTCCCTGGTACGACAATGTTGTCGAATTTATCTTCTTCCGCGTCAACTTTAATTAATACACATGTACCAAACAATAATATAAATTCTACTACTACTAGTACTAATACTACAACTACCACTGCTACTACTACTACTACTACTACTACTACTACTACTACTACTACTACTGATAATAGTAATACTGATAACAATACTACTAATAATGAGATCTCATTGTCGACATCAAATAATGAATTACCGACAAGGATGTCTTCAACTACTCCTCCCACTATTACCACTAGTTCAAGTACAGTGCAAGTAGATATTGAAAAATTGAAAGCATGGATGCATCAATCAAAAAAACAATTATCACAATTTTCCATTATAGATGATCCAAATGATTTGAAAAATTTGGAAAATATGATCAAGGTAGTTTTGATGATATCACTATTATTATTGTAAATGGGATTATTGTTGTTTTGAGTTAGAGTAGTTAAAATGGTGTTAATATTGGATCTTGTCAGTTAGTTTTTTATTATTGTTTATAAATTTATCTCATCACTAAGAGTGGTGTGAATGATATTAGTTATCACTGTGAAGCAATAAACAAGTGAGTTTTGTATGAATTACGGAGGAAAACAAAAACTGATGATAGGTAAAGGCTTTTTCTGACTTTACGAAAGCATGACATTTCCTTTAGACAAATGAACTCATTTACATACAGATTTTATTGATATTTGATGATTGTTAGACAATTAAGTATGATTGAAAATAATGAGAATACATCTAGATTTTACAGTAAAATTATGCAGAGGAATTTTATTTGCGAGGGATTGCATATACTCATGATTGATGTTTTGAATTGTAACTGATCAGTTTTTATTCTTCTGTATGTATTGCGATGTTGTCGTAAGTTGGAGAGTGGTTCACAAGGGAACATAGTACGGGATAGAACAACCATCTGTAATCCTATTGAATAAACATTACCTTAAATTAAAGCAAGATATCTGAAATCATCAATCAATCATTGTTAGACCACCATTATAAACCTGGAAGCACTGAACGGCCGTTTCGTCCTGGTATGGGACTGATCAGCAGTGCACATCCACGACTCCTGCTCCTCGCAGGATTCGAACCCGGGACCTTCGGTATTGTGCGCAAAAGCCTAACCATCGGACCACTGAGCCATCATCCAACGGTGCTAATGTCTAACTCTGATTGGTCTAGGGATTTTGCGCGGGTGAGGTCCCGGGTGGTGGTCTAACAATGATTGATTGATGATTTCAGATATCTTGCTTTAATTTAAGGTAATGTTTATTCAATAGGATTACAGATGGTTGTTCTATCCCATACTATGTTCCCTTGTGTGTAAAAACACAAACCTCCAAAACTCTGCCCCCCAAAAAACAAGATATGTCTATTCAGTGAAACAATGTAATGTCTATTATATCACTCTGCAACGATTTCTAAGATGGCTAGTGTTTATCGATATAAGAGCTAGGTAGAGTTAATCGTGTAAATTATACATAATGATAGACTGACATATATGATATTACACTTTGACACTAGTTAATTAAATCGAAATAAAATCATAAAGTTTCATAACACTATGAATTGCAAAAAACACAGTTCACACTTGTGCAATACGATTGATGATGATGATGAAATAGATGTTTTACTCAGAAAAATAGCTAAATCTTCCAACATAAACAGATAAAGAGTGACTAAATTAACAGTGAGAAAAGGTAACTTTCTATGAGTTATAGAAGGTTATATATATATATATATATATATATATATATATATATATATATATATATATATATATATATATATATATATATATATATATATATATATATATTTATATATATATAGGGAGGGAGAGAGAGTACCGTTTTATCTTATGTAATAAATGTCAATCACCGTATTTCTTGTTATTAACTAATGCTTGACGATTATATCCGATACAATCCTTCATGCAGCACCTGAAGTTGCTTGAGTAAATATGAAACAACCCATTCTATATTTTCGAGTGCACTTAAATCCATCGGTATCGCAATGAATACAGCTTAATTTCGAAAGTATATTTGTTTTAATGAAAATAGCTTATCACTGTTTCATCTCTTTTTTTAAGGCAATCAGTGATAAAATCATTGAAAACAGACCGATTTTAGCTGCAATCGATACATGTAACGCTGTCAGTATAACAGGTCAACCTATTTTAGACACTGAAGCCCTACTGACCAAAGCTCATTTTGCTGATTTAGAATCGGCTGTTGCTGCAGAACGAGAACGTTTAATGGCGGCAATTTATCATTTAGATGATTTTAAAAGTAAGTGTATTCTTGATGAGAATTAATTGTTTTATTTTTTCTTTTAACACAATCTTGTGTTCACTGATATGAATATATCCCTTTTTCTTTTCTCTTTATTGGGGTTGAAAAAGCACTAATGAATAATGATCTGTCATCTCGTTGGTTATTCTGATTGACTGTTCAAAATCACCTACCAAATGCTTAGAATTGCCAACATTCAATCACAAAGTTAAAAATAGATTGTCCTGAGACACATCAATATACAATGGTTTCTTTGGGAATATGACTTTTAAAAGTGTTTGATTTTTTGTTAAGAAAAGCTGGTTATTAGATGCATAAAACTCAAATCAAACAACATTTTCTATCAATCTTTATTTTAGACAATTAATATCTCTCTTTTAACGAAGTTCTTCATTATTCATACAGTTTATATTTTCAAATAAGAAATAACTACTTTATGAAACTTACTGATAAAAAAATAAAATAAAATTTTACAGATTGCTTCTGTAGCTGGATAAAATATTGGTCCTGCTACTGGTATCGTTATTTTGTTATGATTATGGAAACAGTATTCTAATAAATAAAAGTGGACTGGTACAATTCAGTGTAAGGAAGAAGATAAGAGAACAAATGAGGATTTATTCACGCATCAACCATTGATTCTTACCATTGATTCAGAAAATTATATCAAAAGCATGATGTTGTTGATAGTTTAACTCAATTAATCAATGACATAGAAGTGGTGATGATTGACATCAACTAATCAACAATGTATGAGTTACAATATCAGTATATAAATTGTTTTATTACACAAATATGACTAAATTATCGAGTTCTATTTTTTAATGATACCTGAATGTAACCGAATGAAAAGTGATCATTCTTGCTAGAATAATGAACAGATAATGAGTTCTAATGTGATAGCCACTATTTCATCTCAGTAAATCAGTTATTAACTTACTTACTTACTGAGCAAAGGCCAGTGACCAATATTCATTGGACTACTTTGTCCTGAGCCGCCTTTTTTAGTTTTTTATTGATTCTTCTCATGTCTGTCTCCATTTCTTGGAGTGATGCGTTCCTTGGCATTCCTCTTTTCCTTTGACTTAGAGGGTTACAAGTGAAGTCTTGTCTTGTGACTCAGTTAGGTGCATTCTACAGTGTGTATCCGGTCCACCTCGCAGGTCTTGTTCCTGATTTCCTCCTCTACTGGAATCTGGTTTGTCCTCTCCCACTGTAGGTTGTTGCTGATGGTATCTGGCCAACGGATCTGGAGTATTTTGCGTAGACAACTGTTAATAAATACTTGTGTCTGAAGGATGACAGCTTTTGTAGTTCTCGAAATTTCCGCCTCATACAGCAGAACTGTCTTGATATTTGTACTGAAAATTGTGACTGATGTTGGTCGAGAGTTGTTCGCAGTCCAAGATGTCGTTCAATTGCGGAAATGTTCCCTTTGCTTTACCGATCCGCGCCTTCACATCTGCTTCGATGATTTTGTCCAGATAAGCAAACATTTTTACATCCTCCAAGGCATCTCCATCAAGAGTGATTTAGTTGATGCATGTTATGTTGTGTCGGCAAATCTTGCTTTTCCCTTTGTGTATGTTGAGACCGACTGCTGCTGATGCTGCTGCTTGATTGGTCGTCTTCTCTTGTATTTGTTATTGCGTGTGCAATAGAAGAGCCAGATCATTTGTGAATTCCAGGTCATCCATCTGCTTCCTGGCTTTCCACCGTGTACTGTGGTTCCCTCCAGATGTTGATGTCTTCATAAGCCAGTCGAACACAAGGAGCAAGAGAAAGGGTGAGAGTAAGCAACCTTGCCTGACACCTTTTTAGTTCCTTTTCCCAGTCTATATCGTTTCATGTTGCCTTCATATCAGTGTTATTATTATTATCCGGTGTTGTTATTATCATTCTCACTATTACTACGAAAATGAACGATTGCTTATGATTATTTTTTGAAATAGCTGTACTGAATAGTGAGAAACGATGGTTCGAAGCCGTCAGAACAAATAATGAACGTGTTAAGAGCAGTAGTTACTCAGATATTAGTGAAATAACAGATGATTTAGAAGTAAGTTTAAATTATTTTTGTTGTCCGAATCCAAAATTATTAAACAAAATTATAAAATGTGATTTAATAAGCTAGGAATCATAACAATATAGTTATTTAGTACTTCCGTCAATGTAATTTAGCGTAACGCACTAATAGAATAAACCCTCGCATTTTAATTTTATAGCCTCGTTTATTTATTTACTACGAGTTTCTAGAACCGAAGTAGGCGATATAGGCTTCGAACCTACGACTCTTTGGTCAAAAGTTGAATGATTTAAAAGTTTCTTCAAATAGTATACTAATTAGTAAGGAAAACAAACTAAGAACCTGTGTAACATGGCCGACAGATTAAATACTGACCGGTTTATGAATTATTCCGATTAATGTTGATTGTGAAACTCTTTCACTTGCAAGACAACTGTACATTCTTCAATTAAAATGAGTAAAACTGTTATTCATTGGCTTAAGCATTTTAATTTCAGTCAGTATGCTACTACTACTACTACTACTACTACTACTACTACTATTGCCCGAAGTCAAGCGCTAATATGAACAGAGTTTTAAAACTGATTATCCCATTCTATGATGATAATCTGTACTGAATAGAGTACGGTTACTGCATTAGTTAATAGCTACTGTTTATTGGTTCAAGTTTTATTATCGAAACATATAAATCGAGCGAAAATGAGCAACAGTGAAACGAAGATGTAGAAATAGTATCAGTAATCACGAAAAACCGAGTATTTGATATGTAAAGTTGAACAATGTTTAGTCGTGAAAACCTGGGTGTGAATTTCATCCTATTCGGGGCTCACTAGATCCCAATGTTGATCACACTTTAACCTCTGAATCCAGGTTGTCACCAGCTAATACAATATATGTGAAGATGTATTCAAGGGTTTGAATTGTTCAGTTGTTTATCAGTTTCTGTTGATATAACGGTATTCCGGGTGCAGTGTTTTGATATTATCTTTAGCTGTACATTTTAGTATATATATATATATATATATATATATATATATATGGTTCCTTTTTATTCTTATTTTAGACACTTGACAGATTGTCAAAAGAGCATACTATTGACGATGAAGAGCGTTTAAATAAATTAGCTAATGCATTACATGAATCATGCGTTATGGGTAGCGCAATCATGAAAGAACTTGAAAAATATAAAACAGAACTAACATTAGTTAAAGTTGAGGTGAGTATACTTCATAAGGAAATGATTTGTTTAGGCATTTTTCTCTTTATTTATATCCATTGATTGTAAATGATCATAATGATAAATATTTTGTGGTACTGAAATGTTTGTTTTAAACATGATATAAATCCAGTTAATATTCTTATCACAAATATCGTAATAGTTTAAAACTAAGGGAAATTTACTATGGCTTTAACACTTTTCTCCCTCATTGACCTTTTTTCTATAAAAGTGAATAGTCGTGGGAAAAAGATGTTTCATTGTTGAGTTGGACACGCCAATCAATACTTGTTTGTTATCAAAGTTGTATGAGACCTATACTTTGTAGGATAGATTACAAGCGTTATGAACTGAAATAATCCAGAACATACAACCTATTAGAACGACATACTCATTATGATTAGATTGACTGAACAAGTGATGTTTTATTGTAACTAGTTCATTAGCCTGGCACAACAAACGTCTGTGACCCTATGACATGAATCCCGAACAAAATTCATAATGAGTGAATTTGACAAATATTCTGTTTTGAAGGTTTTTCTTAGTTATACAAAACATGATATTTATTTGATTAGGATTGACCTTGGATTTGTTGAAACTAAAAGTAATAAATATCTTGTTGCTTAATTAGTAATCAAGTAAAAATCTAAGTTGATTAGATCCTAGATTTCCATTGAAATTTTCTAAGCGCTTTAATTGGCTAGCAGCATTGTTTCCAATGGACCGAAAAATTAAATGAATGACATTTTAGTGGTTACGTGAGATTCGAATTAGGGCTTACCACTCTAATGACCTGCCATCTGATTCCGATATTTACAAAAAAAATTAAATATGCTATGGAATAAATCTTCCCTTCTGTTTCCATATATCATATTTAGGCGAAATATCTTGATATTAAGAAACTTTTTTTAATCGTTAGATTAATTCGACAACAAGTTATCTACAAAATTTACTTGATCAATTACGTTCAGTGGATGAACGTGTAATAGAAGTTGAAACTAGTTTATTGAACATTGAAGATGACTTGGATAACTATTTTTTCAATACGCAATTCAACAGCGATATTAACGAGTTAGCAGATAAATTGCAAACACGTATAAAAAATGCTAATAATTTGATCAAAGATTTGGAAGAAATGGTTGAATACAAATCATTACAATCATGTACAGATTGTTTGACTAATCGACTGGAAAGTTACAAAGCTCAGTTACAGGTGAATTTTATATTATTTTTTCTTATTATTCCATTTAACGTGATGGTTTTGCAATATATGATTTAATCCCAGTGCATCGAAGTCTGGTGAATTTTTTCTCTCTTAGTAATCAATTTTTATGTCGGTTTTGTACGATTCAGTTTTAAATAAAGTTGCCTTAATCTCAACCACCCAGTTAATAATGCTTTATCTAAGTGAAAATGATTTTAAGATTAAATTGAGTATAGATTTCGATGAAAAGACCTTTCTGGTCTGAGTTTTTTATAACCGGTCTTGATAACTTGATGTGGGCTGGCTGATTTCATAAGTAATTATAATAAACCCCCACTATATTCATCATTTTAACAGCAAACTCATTTGTTACTGAATCAATCAAATGATTGTTAAACTGAGCGTGAACAATTTCGTACATTTTTACTCTAGATGAAATGCATAAAAATACTATACTGATACAGTGTGGGGTGATTATGCATTTATCATCTGTAGAATGGAATTTCCTGTGTTATCGTTTGTCATACACAACCAATTGTGCATGACACTGAATATCAACAGTAAGAGTTTTATTTTACTGCGTACATTTCCACAGAATCACTAAACTAAGAGTTATAGTGGAATGTATTATAGAGGTGTTATAATAAAAAGAAATACTTTTTATGCAAATTTATTGATGTCTAAGATGAACAAAAACACACGTTGGGTAGCTTCATCAGTATTAACTAGTTGACTTTCAAACGTCCATCGAAACTAATTTTGTAACATCACGAAAACCAGCAATGATAATCTGTTGAAGTATATCAGATTTCAATGAAATGACCAAGTAATAACTTTAATTAAATAAAAACTAACTAATTGCAACTACAAACAGGAAGATGAATCGAAAAAAATCACATTAGATTATTAATGTAAGCCTATGAATAGAAAATTAGAATTTGCCCAACAGTATTTTCACCAGCATTCCAAGAAAAGTCTACTGGTTGGTATAGAAAAAAGTGAATAATCATCACAGATTGGACTAAATCATTTTTTTTACACCTGAAAATTATAAAATTTGTAAAAATTCTTTTCACAACACTACAGTGTTTGTTTGGATGCATTAAAACAAGACTGTGATTTTCGATGACATTTGGCTGTATAACTGACGTTTAATTATTGATCTGATGATTAACATATTCTGCACTTTCGTTTACATTACATATCATTATCATACCACCTTTCATCGTTACGTAAAACCATCAGTGTAATTTTCTTTTGGAAAAAAATATCCAAATTAAATATCTTTTATCTATTGGATTAATTTCTTTGATGAGTAGATGTTCAATTTTTAGTCGCTGACAGATTCTGATGCATTTTTACCGGATCACATTCGTATTGATCCAAAATCTATGTCTGAAATTGAGTTACTGGACATTATCATATGTTTTCACACTTCAGACATATAAGCTGATTAATATCTTTCTTTTTGTTGTTAAAACCAAATACTATTTTACATGCTGAAAAATAATCGTGCATATTATGTTAATTTAGGAACGCGTTGAACCACTGAGTAAAATCTTACCGCAACTATTCAATCCTACAATACATCAGTCAAGGTTTAGCCAGTTAAACATGGAATTACAGCAGATTGAAAATAAACTTTGTACTCTAGAAGTTATATCCATGGATCCAGAGGATATCAAAGCAGCAGTCAGTAGTGGACGAGTAAGTTTATTGTTTGATTTAGTTTGATCGATATTAATATATAAAAATGATAATATGGATTGCAAAACTAAAAGAATTGGACCTCGTTAAATACCATTGTGTGAATAAAGCAAGGTTTGTTTCAATCGGTAATGATGCGAACCAAATTAGTCCTCTCGATAGTTCACTGTATTTTTGCAAAATAATTTATATTCCAAACTGACATCAGTTGAAAAATAGCTAAATATTCACTGACAAGTAAACAATTATTTTATTAGTATTAGATTACTCGGCAGTACTCATCTGCAAACTTGTACTTAACTGAAACTACGTTTAAAATATCTTCAACTCTTTATATGACCACTTAGTTTTAGTGTGTTACAGCATGGATTTACTTTGACACAGAGTTTACGAAATTATAATCAGAAGTCATGGTCGGTGAAGTCAATAACTTACTGGGTGTGACAGTATTTCATGAATGATATCAAATGAAGCCAATTAGTGAATCGGTTTATTGATTTCAGTTTTCTAGTCATACACTTACACAGCTATCACTTTATATATAAATGATGTACTCTATTCGGATCATCGCCTGACTTTCATTTTACTAGTTGCACAGTGGTGCATTACTAGTTACGATGTCTAACACCTGGGTTTCAGGTTTGAGCCTTGATTCGTTCACTTTACTCTGAGGAGCCTGTTTGTAGCATTAGTCTTTCAAGATATATTGTCACTCAAAGTCGAGTACATAGGATGATCTGCACAACTCATTATGCAAGCAAAATCAAATTATTTTACCGTTCAATGTTCATTTACATTTACTGATTACAAAAGTGTTTGTTTGTTTGTTTATTTACTCTTATCTTATAATTAACAGAAAATGCTTGCAACATTGAACGAATTAAAGACTGATTTATTAAATATTATGGATGATGATGAAGCACTATATACTAATGGCAAACTAAGCAATGAATGTTTAAACATATTATCTGAAAAACATAATGAATTAGTTTTGCAAATTTTATCTGCATTAGAACGTCTAGATAAAGCTTCATCATTAATTGAAGAACTGGAACAGCTTATGTCGCAAATTAATGACAATTTGTTAAGTGTTGAAGAGGTAACTGATTATTTAGAGACAGCTGATTGTCCTGTATCAAGGAAAGATTTAATTCAAGTAAGCTTTTTGCTTTAGATCTGTTTTATTTGTGTTTGTATACATACAGTGCATAAAGTGATTGATTTACATAAATAAATTCTTATTAATAACTATGTGAATTTCAGAATCGGTAAAGATTAAAAGAATACTGTGTATCTATGATTCATTCTAACCAAAAAAAAGTCAGCCATGTTTGCATTGGTCATAATTTTCGATTCGACTTCAGTAACTCGAAAAATGTTAATCAGTGTACAAAATTTTATTCAGTGGATTAATTCTCAATAAATATTGAGAAATTGCTTGTCCGTAGCGTACTACGATGGTGAATGGACAGGCTTACAGAATTCATCACCTGCCAACTTGAATAGGCATAGATGAATATACCATTAACTTCACGAGGACAGTGTAGTAATAATGTGCATCTTCATGTGTCAGTTAGAACAAATTACATTTTATGTTTTTAGGTACAGAATAACTTCACACTCCTAAAATAGAGCTTAATTTGACTCAGGAATATTACAATATGATTGCTTTTTGTTATGGAGTAAAGGTTTTCAGTATCTAACCAGCAACCATTATCCATCTTTAGTTATCAAACTGGTCACAACACATATAATGTAAACAGCATACTGGTTAAAATAAACCCTATTAACATCTGACTGCTCAATATCACATATTAATCATTTCATATCAGTCAAGTATACTGTTGACATAAAAATTATTTTCGGACACTGAAAATGTGCTGCATCTGTAGACAAAGTTTTAGTGTCATTTAAGCATACAGTAGATAGGGTTATTGTCCTCAGCGTATTTTAGACTTAACTGCAATGTGCGCACCAATCGTCAAATCAATAAATCTTTTTGCTGTCATCATCTGAATGAAACTGTGTGATTTCTCTCTAAATTATTCTATCTTATGAGATATATATGACATTTTAGCACATTCAGTTATCTATTTTAAGAACAATTAAAACATCTGCTCTGTAAAAGTAAATATCCAATTTACTGGCTAACAAATTAAAATCAATAATGGAAAACTAATATATTTTACACATTTGAAATCATCAATCAATCATTGTTAGACCACCATTAGAAACCTGGGAGCACTGGATGGCCATTTCGACCTGGTATGGGACTCATCAGCAGTGCGCATCCGTGACTCCTGCTCCTCGCAGGATTCGAACCCGGGACCTTCGGTATTGTGCGCGAACGCCTAACCTGCGACGAGCAGGAGTCGTGGATGCGCACTGCTGATGAGTCCCATACCAGGACGAAACGGCCGTCCAGTGCTTCCAGGTTTCTAATGATGGTCTAACAATGATTGATTGATGATTTCAAATGTGTAAAAACACAAACCCCCTAAACTCTGCACCATAATATATATTTTATCCTAGTCTTAATTTTTCAATTTAACAAGTAAATTCATCTGAAACATGAAAAACCGATTAAAAACATTATTTCACCAAATGTAATTTGTAATTTTCTGAAACATTAATTCAATGCTTAAACTCATAATTTACTTTTTTTTCACGTAGAAAATTTATTTACAATTAACACATTTATGCCAAGAGAATGGTACAGTATGTCATATTAGACAAGTAGCTGATAAATTGAAATTATTGACACCAGAAGATAAACCAGAATTGACTGTTGACTTATTCAATGAAATTGAAGATCATTTACATAAAGTGATTATGGCTAAAGAAATATTTCAATCACAAATGGACGAGGTGGAAAAAGATGCACAATGCAGTGAATTATCAGAGAATCCTATGAATCAATTGAAATTACGCCATATTCATACTCCTGAATTTATCGACAGACTCACAGTAAGCTATAATTTAAAATATCTACGTGTCTATTTTGAGTGTTTTTTCATGTAAAGTGAAGTTATACTTTTGTATAGTTGGTGCACTATAAACGTCATTGTTTTTACAAAAAACGACGTGAATTTCATCCACCGAAAAACAATCCGAAATCTGGTGAAACAATATGAATCACTGGTTATTTTGTTGATTGTAATCATGATATTACTTAAAGTTAACTAGATAGTTTCGAGACAATAACAAAATTCCGACTGTTCCCACAAATAAACCTTTAATTTGGGCACAAAAGAACAATTTGAAAGTGAACAATATTTGCTTTGTTTTATTCTTACATCATTTACTATAGATGGTTAAGTATATTTACTATCCCACTATTTGAGATTATAAGTTGTTTTAAGTATGGTTAAGACGTTACGCAGCATAAATTTACAGGTTTTGGCTAAACGCTAATCAACTTGTAACAATGAACTATAAATACATAGAATGAAGAGTTGGGGATAAAAATTCTCGTCCTTGTAGAGTTATACATTTACATATATTCTTGCTACAAAGCAATGGAAGAGTGTGTTGGTGATCACCAAATAGATCTTTTAATATCATAGCAGTGCCTAAATGCTACTTGTATCAAAACTATTGATACAGTAGATTCACGGGTAAAAATATGATCGTCTATTAAAATCGAATTTGCGAAATTTCGATGTATATATACATATACATCAAAGAATGACGTCTAGAGAAACCTTCCCATTGGCATCGTTAGTGCTAAACTACGTACATATTTCCGTATCATATAACGATGGGCCAGACAAAGACAATCTAAGTTCTTTTCTATATTGTTCCTCATGGAATGTCAGTGCATACCAAATGTAGATGACAAAAATCTATCGATTTCAAGAGGTATTACCACAGCAGTTGGTTTACAGTTTCTCAGTTACTGTTTGATGAATTTTATCAAGTTAGAAATCCTCGTAGAATGTTGAAAAAGCAGTACTTGCACAAACTATTGCTTTCAGTATATTGTATTACAATCCTCAAAATAAGTTACTTCATAAACAAGTTGCGATAGATCAATGAAAAGTTATACTTTAAATGTAGTGGAATTTTACATGGATTATGTAAAAAATTGTTAAAGTTTAAGGCTCATTTAAGAAGAGACGAAAAATTTAATATGGTTTCAATACAACAGTGATATAATCAAAAAAAATTTAAAATAAAACTTATCGGTCTACAGAGTTAAGGAATCTAGCTTTCCGATCAAAATTTGTATATTGAAGTTAGTATTATGTATGGACAACACTAATCTGTTGATTATAACAACAATTTTACCACTGAGTAATCAAACTATTTTACTGTGGATACTATTGTTACTTTAATATCCTAATGTATCCTAATGTAACTCTAAGAGTTTTACTAATTTTAGCCAGTTTCAGTCAATTAACAGAAAACCATGAACTTACAATTACTGTTTATCGAGACTTATCATAAGAGATTAAATTCAGGTTTGAGATATTGATATTGGTTATATATTAAATGAATTAGCAGTCTTAAAACATTACAGCCAGTTCAGTTTTAGAACTCCCCGCACTTTGGTGGTGTTCACATTTGACACAGCTGGATTACCAACACATTTGACTTGATCAGTCGCAGTGGAATTCTTCTAATCAAGAAATATCGACATAGGATATGATAGAGGGTAATATTACCATATAGATCATGCGTTTAGACTCATCTCCAGTTTTTCGTTCCGATAAAATAACATTCGTGATGTTTCAGTTGAGGTTGAAAGGTTAGAAATTTTACTCTAAGCAACACATCGTTATTTACTGGGTTGTTTGATCACGTCCACCAGCTCTTGCTGAAAAGGTTCTCTGAAGATGAATCTTATACGAAGTTGCTGAACAATAGAAAATTAATTTTCCACTCATTGTGAGACTAACAATAGATCATTAATTTTCTTATTAACAGTCTACCCAATGTTCAATTTATTTGAAATTATAAAGTTAAACTTTCGTAATGAAAGCTAGAAAATAGCAGTACAAGTTTTTACATATCACCTTTCTTTCTTTTGAAATTCCAGGCTGAAGTTTATTCAAACTCCATGATCAATAAATCATCCGCTGATTATTTACTATCAATTAATCATTTAATTGACACCCTATTAAAATCTGGTACACAAATATCACCAACATTACAGAATTTAGCACGAGAAATTCGAATACATTTCAATGGAATAGTAAATTTTAGTAGTTATTGTTTAGGAACCAATGGACCATTGTCTTTGGCACAAACTGATTCATCTGGCAAAGATTATCAACACTGTGCAAACAACACGGTTTTTGAAACTTCAATCTCTGAAAGAAGGATTTTGTTACAGGTAATTCTGACGAATAAGTAGATCCAGTGTTGTGAAACATGAATATATTTGTTCATAATATATATATATATATATATATATATATATATATATATATATATATATATATATTCCAAGTTGATTTATTAGCTGAAGTATCATGATTAACATGTTTCACTATAAAGTCTGAAATACTTTAGAAAAATATACTTGACTGTATAAGCGTTTCATAATGATCTATTGCAAGCCTTGAGTAGAAATTGTAAACCCAGCAGCTTTGATCATTACAACATGTTTATACATTGAAGCATGGATACGAGTTGTAGTGACGCTCGTTTCTTAATCCATATACAACTACTGAACGTTTTCAATTCAAATAGTTTTGGTCTTGCAAAACAAATCTCTAGTTATTATTTGATTAAAAAACATCCTTTATAGTTTGCTGATTGTTCACATGATCAGTTACAGCAATAATCAAAATGAAGCTATTAAATTGGAACATTTATCAATTTTAGTGAAGACTGCTTTACAAACTGTTGAAATACATTCAATACTCACTACAGATTGTCATGAATCAAGCGACAAAAAAAAAGTTTTTCGTTAGTTTTAAACTATTCCTCTTAGATTATCTATTCGACTTTTCATTGTTTAATGAATGTACTTACAGTGTGTGTAAGTATTCAGCATAACTAGATAAAATATCTGCGGTATTTTCTTACTTTTATTTTTGACTAGTTTTTAACAATTTCAGTTATTTTTGGTAGAATGTAGAGATAATTTAAACAAGCCTGCATCTGATGTACATAGGTTATCATTTTTTTCACCACACAACAATAACGTCAACTGGAACATACAGTAACTTGTCGCCTATAATTGTTGACAGTTTAAGCGATTAGAATAACTTTTCACTCACACTTGAAGATAACTCAGATCGGAAATCGACTAGACGAAAACGAACAATTAAAACCATGGATCAATAGGTGGTTGCTTCATCCGAGTACGAGTTACACAGCAATCGGGACCCAAAACTCAACTAGAATCCAATCAAAAAATAATCGTCATCCAATATTGTTAGTTGTCTCAAGTTCAAAGTGCAAACCATCGAAATGAGGTTTAGTTAGCTCAAGGTACTGTAAGAAGTGGCCTACCAAAAAAGTTTCTTGGTTCCGCTTATAACAGAGTCGTGGCTGACAACAGCTGATTTGCAATCTAAGATGAAATGGTTGTCCAATGCCAAGTTGTTTTCAATCACTGTCTAGTTAAAATCAGCCTGCGAAATAAGTTATCTACAGACTAAACATCTTCATATACATCCTATCCACTCATAGTATCTATTATTTTAAATATATTTTTGTGTGAGTATTAAATTTATTTGAAAATTTATTATGAAAAATAAATTAATCACTTAATCTTTTCATTAATGAGGATTAATTGTCTCATTAACGTTTTAAGTGACAAAAATATGATATCTTCTCAAACATATCTATCGAAGAAATAAGTAAAATTCTGACAGATATCTAAAAAGATTATCGCAAACAATCTTATCACATGTTGATCATTCATAATTTACTATCTGTATGATTAATTCCTTCCAAAATTAGTTCGATAACAAAATGTGTGTTGAAATAGACTCATGGAATTGCTTGATTGAATGAAGTAATTTGACACTAATAAGGGGGAACTCTATGGTTATTTATCATAAAAAGTAATATTAAAGGAGGGAAAATTTTTGCAGTTTCGATATTTACCACAGCTATTTGTTTGTAACTTTGTCAACAGCTGCAGTTATTTAATTTGCCATGGTATATCTAACCTATTATATGAATCATCAATGTAAAGTAACTAGAGAAAGTTAAAGATGTTTCATTGAAAGGGAGTGTCAATAAAATGAATGTACTATAACATACTGAATGCCAGTTTGTTAGAACATTACCACGTGAGTCGTTGACATATTCCTTTATAATATGCAAATTACAAAGTGTAATCATCTACCGAATGATTTGTGGTCGATGAGTTTGAATTCTCATCTTTACTTTCATCTATTGGGTAAGTGAGGTGGTAGATCCATACTTCTGAGGAGTCTCATACTAGGATGAAAAAGGTAATCAATGCTTTATGGTTTCCACGAATTATTTCACCTTTATCAATCTGTAATGTGAAAATTTAAGATTCTCACTGTAATTAATGGTTATTTAAATCATAAAAGTTTGACAAATATTATTCTATTTTTATTGTTATTGCATGTTGTTTTTATTTTTAACAATTCAATTTAATGTTAATTAATCCATTCTATTTAAACTAGACCTACATCAAGTTTACAGAATCTGTAAGTGTATGAGTGTGTATACAGGTATATATATCTATATATGTATATATATGTGTGTGTGTGTATTAAAAAGGAAGCAATAAGGAATTTCTTTGTTTGTTTTCCCTCCTTTTACATCTGACAACGTTTACGTTACCTGTTACATCGAATTTTGTAACTGTTATCTTTTCTTCTCTATTATTGTGTGTTTGGATTTAATTCCAAGTCGGTTAAATCTCCATTACCTTTTATATGTTGAAAATATTTTTTATTTCTAGTTCATCTTAGGGTTTCTCTTCTTACTTGATTGGATATCAATTAAAAAAAAATTACCATAATCCATACTGAAGTTTCAAAGTCACTGTAGATTGAAGTGTTATTAGTTCAAAGTTGTTAAGCTTGTTATTATAGTAACTGGGTGTGTAACTATGCTTGGTAGTCAATTTGTATGTTCAATCATTATTGTGTTGCATAATGGCTGCAATTGTACTTTCTTACTTAAGTGACCAACATTTAAAGGTTGACTGAGAATAATAGGAAGCTTCAGTTTCCTGGTGATTTCAACATTGAAAGGATTACAAATGTAGCCCGGCGCTATGTACAATTCAATTTTTAATCATCATTCGGTTTGCACGCTTTGTTGAGTAAACAAAATTCCAGAATAAGACTGTACAGACATTGAGACAACACTGAATCGTAGGGCAATTAGTAAAACTAAATGTATTTACTCAGAGTATTAATTTGATAAAATCATTTAGGATAAGTAGACAGGATTATTTTAACATGAAGTACTTCAGTTCGTCAGATGAATTTTAAAAAAATTAATTAATGGTTTGTCTAATATCATCAATGGGAGAATTCCTCATCATAAAATCCAACCGAAACATTACTTCTTTTTATGATAAAAGGTGTTAAGGCAGTTTACAATATTCAGAGTAAACAAAAAAAACACTTATTAGAAATGCTTATTCTGATATTTGATAGGAAGACTTCGGTTACCACTTCGATTTTGGACAAACCAACATTATATTGCCTCTACGATAATTGTTCTTTATAAACTTATTAGTTATCATCCACCTTTTAATAGGAAGTTCCATACTCCATTTTGTTTTTATCAATAAATTCTTTAAATTTAACTGTTTACTTAACAGAGTTTGCTTGCCTTATGTGTGTATTGATGGTTAGCTGATCAGGTTTTTGATATTCGCTTTATCTGTTTACGACTGTACACAAATATATCTATATGTGCTAATGTACGTATATACAAGTGTTTATTTGTTGAAATTTTTATATGGCTATCATTGATTATTTACTTCCAATTTTAAAATGTTTAGTTTAACTACTTACAATTGTTTGCAGTAGTATAGTTATTTGCATATATATTTATTGCTTAAATGGTTGTGTTTGGGCTGGCATAGAACGGTTGACAAATAAAGTATTTATCATAATCATAATAACACATTATAGCTTTAAAAATTTATGAAACTATTTCATCAAATTTATAGACATCGTATATACTTTAAAATATTCATTACTTTTGTGTACTATGTTGCAAAAATGTGGTGTTATTCAACTCCAGTTTGAAATATATTTCGAAATTGTTTATATTTATTGATGTTTCATTTTTTTTATTCCATGTAAAGTTTAGATTTTATCCACTCTCCTAGTAGAAAACAGCAGAATATTTGTTGAATTTGTACCTAATAAGATTTTTTCCGTTCTACATTCTACATTTCATGCCTAATCTCAATGTTTGTCAGTTATTCGCACAACAAAGATTGTATCTGGAAACGCGGTTAAGAGATTTGATTGTGATTGGTGGGAATAACAACTCGTCTGATCGACTTGAAGATTTGTTAAATTTGCAGGTAGATTACTCATGTGCCTGTATATAAATTTTTTTTGGTCCGCTTTATTGGTGACTAAGATATAATTGCGAAATCATTTTAACAATCCTTGCTCATTTCATCATAGATAATGTATCCAGAGAAAGGCGATAATCCATACATACAAAAATGTATTAGAATGTTGGGCTTCATTTCTTCACCATCAAAATCATCAGTCTGAATAGACCGTAGACCTAAGATGTAGGTTAGAACTCCATTCCGTCTACTTTTCCTTTGAATACTAGGGTAGTGATTTATGCTCTCACATTTTGAAGATCATAAACATTACGGAAGTAGAACTATTTGCTTGAATTATCAAGTAAAAAATCTTACGGATGCCTCTTTTCTGATCTAAAACTGGTTAATAGCACGTAGATAAAAACATAATAACTCTTACCAAGACTCAAAACTCATTGTTTATCTCTTCAAACATTGGGAAATCATTTGCTGCACTGATATGAGAAGGTACCAATAAGCTGCTTTTTCTTATTGAATACAATCATTATATTTTTCCAGCATTAACCATTTCAAATACATTAAGAGTGGCTGCTTCCACCATAAAATTGTCATTTATCTTTCTGAATAAACAATGTGTATAATTGTCTTCATAATATCGTTTTCTTTTAAAAATTTATTTATTTCTATTCAAATGAAAGAGTTTATGGTATGAAACTAATGAAAAACTGGATAAGCAATTCCACGAAACAACTCTACTAGAAAAGCAACTTAGTATGGCACAACAATTATTAATTGATTATACCGTAAGAAATATTTATTATTGAAAAATTTAAATATTTTCCGAATAATCCATTCAGATTCTGATTTTGTATTGAATTGAATTTGGTTTTAATCATGACTGAATAGAGACTGAAAAATTACTGTATATCATGAAGAGCTAGCTATTTATTTTTCGAATCAATTAATGTTGTTAAATCATCACGCCACGATGGTTGAACTTAGGACTATTAAATGTGTATCGAACAAACAATTCTTTAAATCAATGATTTGAGATCCAGTGGTGTACAATTTTTAGTATCTGTCAATCAGTTATACATAGTATGAATAAAACGTTTTCCATGAAGACAGTTTTCCAACATACGATATCATTTATTAATGTCATACAATTACAGCCATAAAGACTTGATAAACACACGAGTCTATGAAATAGTAGAGTGAAATTATTTCATGAGGTATATGAAGATTTTAAGTATCGAAAAGAGATTACATAATTATCTAGAGATCAGGGGAGGATAGTACGACGAGAATTATTTACGGATCAGCAGCTTAAGAGACGATTGTCAATTTGACAGATTTGAAGAAGAAATGAAAACATGGAAATGATGATAAAGGCTCAATAATAATTAGCAGAAATTTGTCAGAGATTAATTACAACCTATCGTTCATCGAAATCTAATGAGCGAAGATGGTAAGATCAGATGGAACGAGTCATTTATTAGAAGAATACAGTTTACTAGTCAAAATGTGTATGCCTTGTCTTCAAATTTCCATTCACAAAACACTTTGTCACTCCATACATACGAATTCATCACTCTTTGCTACAGCAGTAACCTCTGAGCATCACTCGGCTACATATACTCTGCATGCTATTTATAATCCTTGTTGTAAGTAGTATGCACCGCAAAAAGATAGGATGTAATAATAATAATTATAAAAATGAAATGTAGATTGAAAGGGTTGTTACTTTCAAAAAGAATGGGAAATTGTAAGTTAATATTTTGCTTATAGGGTTAAAAATGGAGCTGCTGAGTTGCAAAATACCTTAAAGTAAACAATATTTTCGTTTGAACTCTCTTTGATTCCATTCGTTTGACCGTTTATATTATTTTGAAGATTCTAGCAAGCCAATGTGTGTTCAATTGATGACATTTTCCTGTATTGAGTTATTAATCATTTTACATTCTCTTTTTAAAATTCATACCATTTAAGGTTCAGAAATGCAGTGTGAAAATGTTCGCTCGTAAGGCCACTACAACCTGTCCCACAGTAGCAAGTAAACTTATAGACGGAAATCCAAAGAAAGATAACCTTGCCTACAATTTTCTTATCATTTCTTCAGGCAAACACCAGATTTCTTTCACTATACCGTGTCTCTTTATTTTGGGTACAGTGTGGGTCTGTAAAACTTGAGGAGTTAAGAACAACTGAGCTACTCCAATAGCTGATAGATGACAGATAAATTCAACACCTTGTGGTTAGCGTGGAGAGAAGGCAAATTGTAGGAAAACTTGATAACCGTGATGGAACAAGCAGTATAAAATGAACTGATATAACCCTGTTGCGAAAATATGATCTTCAAGCACATAGAATTCTGTCGGACTTAAAACAATGACAAAAAAAATCAGAAAAATGCAGTTATCTTGTATAAAACTTAAAACAGTGCTTTCAGTTATCGTTTTTCGTAAGATTTTAGACTTGTTAACAAAATTTGATTAATCTTGTTATTCCTTTTTAACGCATTATATGATTTATTATTCATGAGTTTAGTTTTTTTTTAAGTGAAATGAAAACTGTTAACAATTTTCTTTTCTGTTAATACTAACATGGTTGTTGTCCTTTCCAAATTTTGTTACAAATAGAAAACTCCCACAACTGAACTTTATGATCAGTGCATAAAAATTTTAAATGGTTTAGAGGAAACTTATGGTTGGAAACTGACTTTAGACAGAGAACGATTAAAACATAAAGATTATTTGGATACGAGTCTTATTAATTTAAAAAATAAATTTATTACCGGTGATCATATCATAGTAGATGAGGAATTATTGAATATTTATGAAAAACAATTACAATGTACAAGTCGTTTATTAAACTGTATACAAAATGATTTAGAATGTTGTCGAGATGGTTTGACGTCTCAGCTTGGTGCATATATGGATGTAAGATTTGTTTTTAGAGTGTAGTTTATGCTTTATCATTGTTTGATTTTTTGATCAATGTTTACTTTTACATCTTATTACTGTGATTATTGTAAACCTATGTTTGACGTTTATAGAAATCTGACCTTATAAGAAATCCGATACAATCGGTAATTTGAATTTCGAACAAATGAAAGGCCAGGAAAATACATTTATAGGCATCATTTAACAAAGTGGAACAACCTTAAAAAATATATCAACCTTGAGATCACAGTGAAATTACAGAACTAAAAGTGACCACCATCAGTCAAATAATGGCAGCTGTCATTGTGTGAACATAAGTCAAAAGAATGCTATTGCGGTTTTCTTTGTTAGATAAAGTACCTGAGCTATTCTTAACAACGTCTTGACTCACTGCAAAGTTTTCGACTTTATCCAGAACATTGATTAGTCTACAAATCTGTCGGGTTGTTTTTGCAGCTAACGTTTTCATACAAGCGTTGATCTCATGAAGTATGAGTTTAGCATTAAAACCTTTATGATTCTACCGAAAAGTTAACTTTACCCATATCATTTACATATAGATCATATTTACGAAAACAACTAAGCGCACGTGGAAAATAATAGAGAAAGAAATGTGAAAGAAAGATTTACATTCTCATTTGATATTCTTTGTTCATATAACTAAAATAAATACAATTCTCGAAAATTGTCAATACCAAGTTTATTTCGATTTCATTTGAAATGAAGAGCACGTGAGAAAGCAGTCAGTGAAATTCGGTACTCAGAGGTACCCATTCCTCATTAACATAACTGTGTTATGCTCGTCAACTGATGTGCTGGAAACTATTACGTTTCACCTTAGTCTGTAAACGAGAGCGAAGACAAACGATCCAGTGACACGATAGGCTACTCTAATCCGAGCGTCCCAAGGACCCACTTAGTAGATGAAGAAGTCTTGATGTGGTATAGAAAGTGTGTTCTACAAGCACCCAGAAAATATGAGGTTTTCCAAGCACACTAATCGATTTTATTTGTACAACATTGAAACGTCCTTGGGAGAGCCACAAAAATAGTGTACTAAAGTACCACATCAACAAATGGCAGTCAAGGATATTCCGAGTGGGAAATGTAATCTCAAGGTCAGATGATCAGCCCATCCGCTAAAACATAAAATTTCAAAATTAGGACCTTTATCAAGTGAGTTCTGGGGATCTAACGTCCCAACAAATTCTCAGAGAGTAAAAATGTTACTGATTACCAGTGAAGTCTCAGAGAACATTCAACAATTATTTAGGTTATCAACCTACAACAACAACAACAACTATTTAATTCGAATTTAAATTTTTAAACTTCACTTGCAGATAACAAATACATGAATTGGTTCTAGTATATTGTTACTTTAACATATTAACTGTCTTCCTCGATATATATTTTTTCAAAAGACTTTAGAAAATGAATTAAAAACTTGTAATCAATCACTGATAGATTCAGCGAGAATCCTTCAAGAAATCAATGATGATGTAAAGTTGAAGCGAGAAAATCAAACAAATCAAAGGCATTCTGAAAATTCAGAGAATATCAATGTTATTGCTGAAGACAATGATGAAATAGTTTGGTTGAAAGTTCTACTGTCAACACAAAAAAGCCGTTTAGATACCTATACTGATGAATATGAATTAAATAGGCAGTAAGTTGTATGAATTATGCGTAACTTTTAGTTGAGAGTACGATGCTAAAATTTGTTCCTCTTCAACATTGAACATTCTCCATTCCCAATGACAGTTCATCCTGTTGTAGGTCTGAATTCTTTCTAGTTACACTTCTTTCATCTTTTAAGATTTAGAATAATTTTTGTGAGTTGTTGCAACCAAAAAATATCTGACAACTGCAACCTAGAAAGGACACTTTTAAGTCTTGTTAGGGTTTATATTCATAAAAAGATATAATAACCAGTGTCTACAGGTTACTCAAAGAAGAAATGATAAGTAGTTTTTAAGCTGGTTGAGTGCCGGCTTGTGATGATAGAAATATAGAAGCAGTCCACCTGGAGAGTTATTTCTGTTCATAATTCTTCACAGGTATTTTCGTCAGCATTTTCAGAATTGTTGGCTTAAGAATATAACCAACAAGAGCAATAAATTATTTTTCTTGGGCTGGTCGTACGCTGCCTTTTTTAAGTCACTTTTTATTATATTAGTTTCATGTCTTAAGAGCTTTACCACTAAAATCAATAAATTCTTATAGTAAGTGGAAGAGTAAAGTTTTTGCAGCTGATGATTCCTGACATTTCCTTCTGTTTGTGCATCACTGGAGATACTTTCTACCGACAAGAGACAATCTTTTACCACCACACTCAACTACGGTCAATTTATTATTTTTGACTTTTTGCCTTCGCGTCTTATCTCTGTGGTACGAGACAACAGACAACAAGTGGTTTTGCGAAAATAATTCAAATGCATCTTTAAGCTAGTAAGCTTGATCTGCAAATTAAGGTATCAGCTGGCATAAAATCGGGCTGTAACAATTAGGCACAAAATACATATATCAATCAATTAGTAATATGATAAATTTATTCTCGTTAGTTTTCTTTACATGTTGTATGTAAAACAAACTTGTACCTGATTTTCAAAATAAAATTGTAAGCCTAACTCTTATTTGAATAAATATTTTCATTATCAGTGATTGGCTTAAACGTTATCAATTGTGGCAGTCATTCAATGAACGATTAAAAGATTTACAAATGACAACTAACCATTTACTCAAATTACAAAATGAAAGCAATCAGATCAAACTCTCAGATATTGAGGTATTACAATTATTTATCTTCTTTTTTTTTGAAATGAAGTTTTTGTTACATTTTACAACTACTAATCTGGACTACTTTTTACAAATATCAAGTAGTGACGCAAGTTGTCATTTACTATTTCTAATTTCGATTTAATTTGAGTATATAATTGGCTAAAACAGTCGATAAAAAAACTATCCAACAGGTTATTCAAAGGTTGATAATCCGGAAGTAAATGATTTCTATTAATGCAATGTCAGAACGCGAACTGAATGTGGAATGGATTGATTATGATATTTTAGCCACTTCTTTGTAGAATATACATATTTTGTTCTATGTATATTGTCCGGACAAGGATTTTTTGAAGATACACCCCATTCCATTTAAAAGTCACTGAAAATAATTATATTTTGAAGTTCCGGTTAATCCAGATAATTCTACTTTCCATATTGTACTTGTTCAGCTTACTTTGTGATTTTTGTTACCACCGTTTTTAAGGTCTGCTAATAATCAAGATGTTTTTAAGCTGTTATTATCCGATTTCATAGTGATTATTAACTGTTTTCAGGACATAGGATTAGCAGGGACTTTTCACTCTGTAGTTTGAGTTAACTACGTATTGGTGAACCACTACAGGGAACTAAATAGTTATTATAACATAGATTTGGACTTCTGCTCAATACACATCTACAACTGTATAAGAAATAAAAAAAATCGCTACGAAATTCTGTCATATATAGTGCCAAAATATAGTTTTCAGAAGAATGAACTAGTTGAAATATGAGTGACCAATGAGAGTTCCAGTTAGGATAGTCTACTATTGGAGCTGCTAGTTTATTGGTGTTCAATTTTTGAGTAACATATAATATCAGAAAATATCAGAACATCTTTAATTGCTAGGTAAATTGAAATCATCTTCAACATCTCATTTGAATATTCTTTTCACCATTTCTTTAATATCTGTACATGTGATCATATCCTCTGTTCACTACTTACTTACCAACTATATTTTGAGTTTAACTAGTCTACCTATTTGATATTATAACACTACAAACATTTGTATTGTACTATTAATCACAAGTACAGTTTGCAATTTAATGCTACATTTTACTTTTCAGAATGTCATTAATATAGTCCATCTGTTTTATACTTAAACCAGCTTCATTAAGAATTACAGTTAGAGATGTTATTGGTCATTTATTTTGCTTAAGACGGAATTCCTGTGAGACTAGACATTGATTATTTAGTCAGCATGTTTGATCAGTCACGAAATGTAAATTCAATACTTCAGTCACTTGAAACCATAAACTCAGAATCAATATAAAGCGGTACTTAATTTTATAGGCTGTATCAGTCATAAACTTGCCTGCTTTTTTATAGAGCTGATGTGAACAGCTTTTAAGCTGATCAACAAATATATGGCTACTTTCAGATTAGGCATTAAAAAAGAATCAAAAATGTATGGGATTCTGAAAGCCAGAAGTCATTGTTAACCTTCGAGAATATTTGATCAAAATTATACGTTTTCTTAATCTAACAGTAAAAATGCTACCTATTATAAGTCAATCCAAATTTGTACCCGAATCATTTCTCGTATTCTTTATTTAAAGGAGAGATAAAAAAAATCAGTGAGACCTTTTGCTGTCAGAATTTTAATTTATGTTGTTCTAAGCTGTTGTGTTATATTTTTCTTTCCTACTGTGATTTATGTTGTCATTGTTATTGTAGCGTAGAATATTGTGGTTAAACATGAAGTTAATGAAAAGAAAAACACATTTTGTAAACTGTAGGGAAACCGATCACCGTTTTGTATCTAGTCTTACTGGTTGTACCTTTTAAAATGAATAATACATTTATGAATAGTCTATTTTTCAAAAATGTATCTCGTAATATTCATTTACGAATACGAATATCCGCCTTGAAATTTAGCAGGCAGATAAAATTTTGTTCAATCTGTATAAAAGATTGTTAGTCAGTGAATGGGCAAATTATTTATGCTTTGTTGCTGGCGTTTCATAGAATTAAATAGCAAAATAGGAAACATGGATGTCATCCAATGTATATGTTGATAACTGAGTATGTTAATTCTCTTTAGAGACTTATGCAATAAATAAGTTACTTTAAATACTAAAACTTTATCCACTGGTTCATGCAGTCACAATTAGTGCTCAAATCTGTCATATGAATAAATGTTAGCTACATTCTCAACCAGGAACTTATGAATCAAGTAGGCATCTAAAATAATTAATGACAATCCGCAGAATTGACTAAAAGGTTCACCAACTTTCGTAATCCTTTCTTTAAAATGGAAACAGAATGAATGAAAAAGTTTCGGTTATTCAGCTTCATAATTAGTAGAAATAATGTTTAGTTAAAACCTCGTTAGTTTGAAGAATATTGTCACCAGTTGGAAAATCACTAAAGCTGAATAGCAATGAATCATTCATAAAGTTTTGTTAGTATAAATATCCTACCTCATAAAGAGCAAATCGCAAGCTCATTAAGTCATATTACAGACAGGAAACCACTTGGAGTTCACTTGTTCACTTGGTTCACTAATTATTGTCATCAGTATCCGGTCGGTTTAGTCTTGAATTAATTGACTAAATTGATAATAAATTTCCATTAGAACTCTGGGTTAGAAACTGTAATTTCTAGATGATATGTGCAAAACAGTACATTTGTTAGTACAGAGTTGTGGAGGTTGTTTGTTTTCGCTGTACTCATTAACTGATCAGTGAAATTCCACAATCTCCACAACTCCGTATTGAAAAGTATCATATGCTGACTAATGAGTAGCTTCGTGAGGAAATTCTCGGAGCTCTAATAGAAAGTTGTGGCTAGTGGAGTTCAACCGTTTCGGATGTTGGCATTGAATGATGATTGTTCAATATCGTTGGTTGATTCAAGCTGGACATAAACACCACTGAACGCCAGCCCAGTGGTCAAAAGATTAGGCATTTGCGCATGACGTCAGAAATACTGGACTTGATTCCTGCCCGCATGGTTGTGAATGCGTACTACTGATGAGTCCCATACTAGGTCGAAAGAACCTTTCAGTGCTTACAGGTTCTCAATGATGCTCTAACACTGATGGGTTCATGATTTCTTCAATGAAGCAGAGTTGTATTAAAATGGCATTGGATCCTGGTAGGTAATTGCCTACTTTTAATAAATAGTTTGTTTTACGATTAACTTACCAATCAGCGAGTTAAATCAAATAAATTATTTCGAGTAGATTTTCTGCAGTTGTGATATACGTAAACCGAAAACGATAGTCTCAATAAGTTAATCACTACTTTTAAAAACATATCACTGAAATGTAAAACAAATACTTGATTTTTTCATATCTCTGATAAATAATCGATATCATTCATGTTCAATATATTTGTTATAATAACGAAAGACATTTATGTTTACACACATGACTGTATTTTATTTTTGCTCATTATGATTGTGGCGTTGTTACATTGTATGCACGTACATATAAATGTGTATATTAACCTAAATATATGTTGATATATTCGTCTATTCAAATGCATGCTTTTGTTTCATCAACTATGTAATACATTTCACAGTTTTAAACAATTTTCATGTACACAACAGGAATTTTTACCTAAATAGTGTTTTTCGTCTGAAAAATTCCCTTTAAATGCAATTCACCTATTCATTTGTTTAATTTAGAACAAAATAAAGGATACATGTGTAGAATTCGTCTCACTACGACAGCATAGTTCCCAGTTGATCAATATGAATTCAACACGTGTGAAAGCACCTGTGAGACAACATTCATTACCATCTAGTAGTGCAATATCTTCAACAATGACAACCTCAGCATTAACAGGAGCAGTAGCCGCATTAACAAGCAGCTCAACCAGCCCAAATTCTGAAAACGAACTAATGGCAACAGCTACAGATATCCACAATAAAGATAAACCGCCATCAGTTCCACCTCGTCGGCACAGTCTATATCGTGGATATAGTACTCAGTCAATAGAACACGACCATGAATTCGTAAGATATGAATTAAATAGATTAGAAAATGAATTACTTAGTTTGTGTCGTAAATATGGGACACTAAACTATGTCACACAACCTTCAAACGTTAAAAATTTATCAAACAGTTCAATTTCTCCAGAGAAATCAGTAAATCGGTTCGATCAGTCACAAGAACTACATAGTAATAAACTGTGAGTTTGATTAATTAAATTGATACTATCTATGGTCAGATTTTGTCATAAGTCCATAAAATATGATTTTTAATGTTTATTGTTGAATAATACGGATATTACGTAATGACATGGGGAGATTCATTTCTGTGTGATAGAAGTATAAAAACGAAGTACTAAGTCAAGACTACATCATGTTCATCGGTAAGATTGAACTGGTTTGCATTGAATAATGACGAGGTTGCAACGGTCACCCTGGTGATTACATGAAACTTGGTACGCTTGAAGTCCCACTTGCTATTAATCACTTGGAAAACAACTTGAATAAGTCTCCTGTAGAGAGATGTGATTAATTATAAGAATTTGATTTATAACTCCAAAGTGAAAAAATCTAAACAGAAGAGACATTGAACCAGCCTGTGACATGAAATTCTGATCCCTAAAATTCATAATGGTTATCCTGAAGGAAAGGACAGTCAGTAAATTACGAATTTGTCGGAATTTGAACTCAAACTATTTAGCTTACACGAAATAATCCTATCCAGGAATTTTGAATAAAGCTCTTCCTACAAATATTCATGGAATAGCGGAAAACAATTATTTAACATTCTGTGATTTCAAATGATGTATTAATTAGAAAATATCGAAATAGTATCTAAGTGGTTTTCTTTTAATTATGACGTTTAGTAATTATGTTCATTAGAGTTAGATTACCATTTCAGGTTAGATAATTCATTTCAGTAGTGAATGAGTTTTGTGTATATGCATGTAAAATAATACATCCCTTCAAAACAGAACTGCCTGATACTTTTGATACACTAATTCCGAGGTGAAAGCATTATTAATCTTATCTTTAACTAAATTACGATGAAGTTTGTGCACAGGAGGTAAGAAACTAGTGAAAATCCTCTCTTAAATACTAAAGTATTTTTCAAATGAAAGTGTTTTCTTCTCAGGACATACGTTGATCCTTCAGGTTAGTCAATTAATCAACTTTTCTTTTTTTTAAATAACAGGTCTAGTGAAAATTGCACTAACAATAACATTAAGAATAAACAATCTTCCAGTCATGTATTTTCAGTCAAAGAGATACCAGTTAATTTTGAACACTCAACAGTGACCGACTCTGTGGAGATAAGAGATAAAACTGTGCAATCAGATGATATAAGAACATGTTTAACTGGACTGAATGAATCTATTGATTGGTTCACTCATGAGTCTTGCCTGATTCCAGTAAATATATCTGAATATATGGATAGTGGAAAGACATTAGATTATTACTTCATGGATGATCGTTTCTGGTGTACAAAATCACAAACTAATCAATCTCCGAATAACAATGGCACGAATAAAAAACAAATTGAAGTGAACAATAATTATGTACAATTAAAATTGAAAGAACTTGATGTAAGTCTCACTAGCTGATAGTAAATAGGTCTATTTTCAAAACATTTTATTTAACATGTGTTATCAAGTTATTTTTCAATCGCGACAGCATTAAAACAATCCATTTTTAAATAATGATTCAGTTAATTTCATTCATTTATTGTCTGTCATAAGACCAAGGATTATTGATTCATAGCTTGTGTGTATTTCACATATGTTGAGAAATGATAATTATTAGTTTGTACACTGAATCGAATAATATGAATTCTTTTTATCAAATATGTATTTATCTTGATTTGTCTTGCGTTATGATAATTTTTTTTATCCGAATGGTACATGTGTTATTTTACTACTATTCATAATGAATTAAGAAATAAGTAACAACCAAATCTGTATATATTTGTTTAATTCAAGTTTAATCAAGTGGACAAACTTTAATAAATTATGATTACATTATGGATTATTTAAAAAGTGCATGTACTTTCTGTGAGAAAATTGAAATGACAAAATTTTAGTCCATATTTATGTAGTGCAATAATATGAATGTTGATTCTACGGCGATGGTAATTAATGTAAGGCGTGATCATTGTACACAAGTGTTACAATGCTTACATTACATAGCGAAATATTCTAACTGTGAAGTTGAGTTAGTTGAAAGATTTTTGCCCAGTGCTATTTATGCCATGATATCTGTCTACCTTATCTTTATATTGTTCACAATCATAATCTGTGAAAAGTTATGATCCATAGGTCACTTTTGATTTATTTTATTGGAATCAGGTAATTAAAACATTTCATAGTTTATACTGATCTGCAAATAACACGTAAACTGCTCTACTTTACAAGTGTCAAGTTTTACTTTAAAACAAAATGTAAGAATTTATTTTGTTGTTGTTGTTTTGTTTAAGATTGATCTTTTTTTTCAATGAATTATTACGTTGTTTAGTGTGAATTCGAAATTACTTTTTACATTGTTTATCGCCGTTTACCAATATGAACTGGAATTGATGACAATGAAATTTTTACTGTAAACTAATGTTTGGTAGCTTGATTTATAAAAATCAGATTTTAAACATTTTTATATTTTTTCATTCCTGACGCAGAGCATTGACTGTTTCCAAAAAAAACGACAATTTAACAATTATTGACAAGCGAAAAAAAGGTTAACTTTCTAGTTAGTATTTGACATGAAGTAATAAGTAAACGTGTCAGATACATACGTGTAATTTTACTACAATTAAATTAATTAATTGAAATGTTCGCTTCCATTCCATGATGAATGGACTAAGGGGAGTAAGATGTTTTAGGATTGGAAGGTAGACTGAGATAATTCTTCTTCTAGTTTTTTTTCACTGGTTTTTAAGTTTCAAAGGTTAGTTAAGTATGCTTTTAATGATAGCAAAACACTGACTGTTTTAGTCAGAGTTAGCCAAGGGTCATACAAACCTGTAAACCACCACTGATAAGCACCTGCAAGGTTATCATGAGAAACTAAGTCAGATAATCCGACTAAATAGTACAACAACCCAATAAAATACATTTAGAAAATTATTACAGAATATACAGTAAATGCAATTGGGTTGTTGTAAAAAGGAATGTAATATTCAAAACACAAGGTAACTCATTTGAAAGGACGGAACTCAAACTATTTTCATAGAATGTTTGTCACAAAGATTTTTATAACGTAGTATATGGACCAAACGAATAAATGCATACGTTAGCAATTCACAGCAAATCTCATTATTGAAAGAGCATAAATCATAGTTGTGATCTGTCTTGTAACTTATATTTTCATTTTATTACCATCCTAAAGTATTAAGTTTATATGTGCATGTAAATGTGTGTGTATAATAGTGTGAAGTGAATTATTCTTTTTCTGTGTAACTGCCAAAGAACTCTTTCCAAATATCCCATTCTTTTGCAAACAAATTATATCATGGTATTTTACATTGTTCTCAAATAGAGAAAAACTATTCCTAGATTATTGGCATAAATGTTTTTAAAGATAATTATCAAACTTTTCACTGATTCTGCTTTTGTTTATAGAATATCGAATGGAAATCAATGGATTGGAAGAATTGTATCGACATATTTAGCGATAAATCTAAAGTACTACTTAAATCAAACATATTATCAGATCAAAGTACAGAATTGAGTAAATTAGAAGTAACATGTGCTAAATCACAAATTATTTTAAATTTCGCTTTTAATTCACTACTGAACTATCGAGAAATTTTGCATACATTTAAAACTAATCTAGCCAAAATTGAAGGCTCTATAAGACAAATTGAATTGATTAAAAATTCAACGGAAGATCCAGATCATCTTATTCAAGAATTGAGTATAAGTAAATGGTTAAAATTATTGTGTCAACAAACAACACCATCTAAATCAAAGCGTGATGGACTTGCAACAGTAAGTTTGTGATTCCTAGCTATCTGTCATTATTATTATTTTTGTATAATGTCTGTTAGTGATTTATATACTGGCAACCTATTGATTAAATACAGGTGCTAGTATTCGATCTTGAATCACATGTTATATGTGAATGTCCATGATACTACTAACAGACTACTAACGTTAAAGTACTGGTACAATTAGGGTTTGGACTTAAATACTATTGAAACCAAACCTATTGTTCCACATCTATGAAACGCTCGCATTACATCTCTGATTGTTCTCCTAACTGTTAAATCCTCATATACTACGATGTAGTTGGTGGTGGAGTATTCGATCTCAAAGTATTAGCTTAAAAGCTTTGTTAGTTACATTTCACTATTACTGAAAATGACTATTTACTACTAATAAACTATAAATTGTTCAGTTTATGATAATAATTCATGCTAAACAATTGGACTGGTATTACTTTGATTCATGAATGAAAAATTAACATCAATACAAAATAATTTACTTTCATATGTTCTGTGTTTGACAGGCGTCAGAATATTCCACACCATTCACAGTGTCGATAAATAAAGTACTAGTTTAGTGAGATTCTGAATCACTACGCTGGTTTAAGGATAATAGATATAATATTTGAATCCTAAACTGACTTTAGATAGACCACCATTGGATACATGAGGTCATCTTACGGCCGTTTTATTTTATTATGAAATCCACGACATTACACATGAATCAAACCTAGGATCTTCGATCTTGAGCGCGAACACTTAACCTTTATATTACTGGGTCAGGATTCTATGATGTTACAATTTAACCTCTATCAATTCACTTATGAGGCATTGTGGATGCACACAGCTAAGAATTCGCATACCCAAACGAGATGGACCTCCAATTGCGCTAGGTTTAGGATGTGGGTCTAGCCGAAATCGATTCATAATTTAGACCATGGAAATAAAAATAACAGTTCAAATTTTGTGCAGAGTTAAAATGATTATATTTGTCGAAAGAATGTTAGAAACCATATAACGGAGGAATACTTGTCATCTTTATTAATCTATGGATGGAATAACATGCATTCAGTCGAATTTTCTTGCAAACTGCGTTATGAAATTCTTCATGACATCGTGCATACGATCATCTGATCATTGCCATCATTAGTTGAGGTGTTGAAAATAATTGATGGAAATTAATCATTGATGAAGGTTATGAGAACGCAACTCTAGTTGGCATTCTTAATATACATTAACCCTGTACACCTTTTAGTGTCAGATTTATGAATATAGTGTTTACTTCACTAAAATATTTTTGATTGAAAATATTGGTACAGTGGTTAATCCGTAATTTATTCATCTTATTCTAAAGAAATGAGTTCTAATTTTGAATCTTCTCAAAATTACATAAGCAGAAGTAATTTACAGTACGTTCAGTGAGTGTGCCTCGTAGTTTGCTGTATCTGTCTATACGGTTGATAAACAGTTTACTAGGAAAGTTCAGTGTTTGAAAAATGAAGTTGTAATAATTTTTCATGGATATCAGTATTAGAACAGTGGTTGTTGGTAAAATGTATCATTTAGAAAATCGTCTTCATATGCCATCATGATGAAATTTTAGCTTAGCCGCGACGATAAAAAGGGTTTAGCAACAGGAAATAAATAACCACTGCACAGACCGAAAATGTTACTTTATTAGTGCTTTTATGACATACTTTAAGTTTTGGCTGGCAGTGTAATCTACGACTTATGTTTTATTCTGATTATGACACGGCAACAGGAAGTTTCAGCATCACAATGTTGATAGTCACTCCAAGACTTGAATTTCGACTCACCCACTTCTAGTAAGAATAATTTACACGATGATCTTGCAACCAGATAGTTTGCTCAATGAGTACGGCGGTTCGTGTCATCAGCAGGAAACTGGAAGACCATTTTGAATCCTGCTGCTAAATGCAATCAACATGTTCTGAAATGTTTTGCAAAACGGTTGCATCACGGCTATCCTCTCAAAATGAATGTATCTCAGTTTGGGGAATGTGGCCTCATTTTTCAACTCATTCTATTTAAATCTCTTATGGATGAACTTTATTTTTCAGAATGAATTCATCAAAGAATTAGATCCTCAATATGGTAAATTAGGTATACAATTAGTGCTACTTGGTAATCTCTGGAATGGTGCACAAAATCATCTGTATGATTTAAATAAAAATAATACTGATTCATTGGAATTCATATATTCTGCATCAATTCGAAATTATGTTCAAGATATTTTAAATGAATGGAACAATTTGAGTAACGCTTTACAATTACCATCAACTTCATTGGAATTCATATCTAGTAAAAATTTGATAGCAGAAAATGTAAGCGTCATTTATTCATTTCCATTGGCACATAAAATAGAGGTTTCTTTTTGAAAAGAGAAGTTATTTATCGAAATTTTTTCAAAAAGCGGAAACTAGATGATTCAGAAAGGATGCATTTGTTTCTATATGCAAACAAGCCTACTATACGGGTGTGAAACATAGCCACTAAGGATCAAATATGTTCGTACGTTACTAGTATTCGATCATAGGTGTCTTCAAAGCATTGCTCATATATCCTGAAACGATCGAGTAAGCAGTGTCTGGGTTAGGAAAAGAGTACTAGTTAAAGATGGCAAATCAATTGATAGAATTGTTAATTTACATCTGTCGAGGTGGTTGGAATATGTGTTGTGTGTGCCCAGTCGTGAATCCTACGATTTTTTCCAGCTTCAAAGGGTTTTAGATGTGATTTGCTGACGATTGCCAACTAGCATGATTTCCGAATCTAGTGCCATGTATAAAATTCTTATATCTTTTAACTTCACAGAAAGTGCACTTCGATATTTAGTTGTGAGGAGTTTCTTTCTCGGAGCTAAATGTTTAGGTTGTGGAGCTTTTATTGTTCTTACGAACAACATCATCAGCACAAACTTCAAGTGGAAGTGAAATATTGCGATACTTTACTTCCCCACCATCTCAAGATGTAAAGTTACTTAGTTAAATGACCTCATTACAACCTTGTTTATTAAATTGGTTCTGCGTTTGACATGGCAATCATTACTGCGTGTCAGCTAGTTATTTGAGGGATTTCGCGTATGTGGGGTCCATAACAGCATTCCTTAATAGGAGATATATTTTATGAGACTGTTGATCATACTGAAATAAATTGTAAACATTTGTTGTTCTATGCATTACGGTATGACGTATGAAATCAATCAAGTGTTCTTGGTGAAATGGCTTTCATGACGGTAAGGAAAATTTATTTCAGCATCATTCGATAGACAGTATTTAGAAATAATGACTGTATGTTAATGCTTAGTTTCTTCATGTTATGAATAGTGAAATACTTTCTTATTCGATTAGATATTTCACGTTTTTTTAACTAATAATTTTATCTGCGCACTATTGTTATGATCTGCTGAGTAATGTACAATAATTTGAACGGAACCTAAGCAAATTAGATAAATTAGCGAGTAACACAGTAACACTGCTGCATTAACAATCTATGCTTGATTGAAGAATGATATGGTATTTCAGAAGAAACTTTTATTCCCCAAACTAGGAATAAACCAGTGAACAACACTAACATATATGTAATACAAAATGACCAATAAAAATGTAACTAAAAGTCAGTGATGACGTCTGTTGAAAATTTTAAATAAATAGCAGGGGTGAGAAATCAATAGTGCAAGTGTGTAAAATTACACCAATAACAGGTGGGAAAAATTACAATAACACAGGTTTCAGTCATTTGCAATATTGATAGGATTTGTCAGATTTAGCGTTCAAAATTTCCATGTTACCGTAACAATGAAAAATTCTGAGGCTCTGTGAATGTTTATTTCAATAATTCTATTTATACTTAACAGCGATTAACCTTTTGGAAATAATAAAATTCATTAATACGATATAAATAGTTATGGGTTGCATAACTTTTAACTATCGTAGAAGATTACTATTTACAAGGCAGGCAAATATCAAAGCATCAAAATGATCAATACTACAAAATATTACCATCAGTCACCAGTTTATTTCATATTGATATTTTCGAAACATATTTGGAACATGACATTATTCCCACTAGATTTTAAATTATTTCCAACTTTTGTCAGTTGCACTGTTTCAGCTAATGTTATTCATTGGATATCTTGTCATAGTTTTTATGGTCTGTAACATGAAATTTCCCGCTGGTTGAAGAAAACTTCACAGTCTATCCTACTATCGGTTTTCGCCATATTTGAAAAAAACATTCAATACACACAATTTGCTTCGTTGTTTCTGACTGATTTTATTAGATTATTTCAGAATTAAGCTCTTTCTTCAACTTATTCTTTTCTGTTACATTGATCAAAATCGAAACGTATTGTGCAAGTATCATAAGCTGATTGTACAACAGATAGCCAAAGTTAGCATAGCAAGATGAACGATAAATACTATCGTACTTAAATGCCTTTTTTCGCTGGTCAACAGGATCATATTCAACTGACAATTGATGCGTGTTGTAAATTCTTTATGAAAAACATGTTTTGTCCAATAAGTATATGAGCTGAATTTGAACAGTTAGCACCGACCACTTATACGTTTACAGCCTGTAATCCAACCATCGATCAAGAATTCCTCATATGATCCCTGGAATTTTTCATTGTGTGCTTAAAGTGCAAACTGATAATATGAAGATTATAACATGTAAAACGATGAGATAATTCATTTTTTTTGCATCTTCTGGTGGCTGATAGGAAAACGGAATAAATACCATTAATAATTTTTGAAGGAGATAAGATTAATATCATCAAAAGTTTATAAAGTTTTAATAATCTTATTTCTTGCATTCATTGGATAGTTTACTATTTTAGCAAAAACTATTCAAAAAATTATAAAATCAATTTGAAAAAAATTCCCCAAAAATATCAAAATCTCTCATTTGCTTAAATCGCTATAATAAATTTATCTATTTGAGTTCATAATTTCGTTCTCAATGAAATTTCCTTTGCTAGATAAATCGTTATTTACTTTTTATACTCATTATTTTACACATCTAACAAACTTCTTATCTACCTTTTCTTCTGTCATAATATGAATGTTTGATTTATTCACTGATCATAATGAACAGGACTCTCATTTGAATAATAAACCAATATCGGAGAATACAGTCGGGAGTCAAACAGTCAAAACTTTAAATGAATCAGCTTCTTCCTCGGCATTAATAACAAGTCAAATGGACGACTCTTATTCAATAAAAGCTAAAAAAGCAGAAGACACCGTTGAATCACTACCAATAACTTCGGTTATTTCAAATCCAGCTGAAACTAATTCTACAATATCAACTATAATATGTCATGAATCTGTATCACCTATATTGAATCGTATGCGAAATGAAATACAACAATTAACGCGTTGGTTAACTACAATCAGAAATATACTGGAAACTAGTCAAGCAAAACTTGGTGATCGATTTGATCAGGATACTGAAAGCCAACAATTACAGGTAAATGGGAATATAACATTGTTTTCAACTTGTAGTTTTGTTTTTTAAGTGATAGCTCAATACATTATAATTGAATTGGAATCCAATATCTAGCACTTTGTCGAATAGGTTTTTGTGAAACTAAGTGCGATTCTTAAATAAAGTGACTTAAGAATTTCCATGAGTGAAGTCACATTCTTGGCATAAAATATAAAAATCAATTTATTAAAAATGTAGTTTTCACCACAAGCTGATATCTGCTTAAGAAGTATTGGACCTAGTTGTGGTCCACAGGATGATAGTAATCGACGGTTAGAGACCTTTAATGGAATGGCTCAAAACTGTTTGCAATGGAGCAGGTGCATCCATTATTCGTGTTCCCTCAAATCCTAATCTGAATTCCTCATAACCATTTTTTATCTTTTTTCTGTTGATTTTTCTGGAACTTACACCTCGAATGATATGTTCGATCATTAACCTTTTTGATTACTGCCAATACTTCTAGTAACTCAACTACTACGGGATTTGAAATGACAAGTGCTTCTCTGTGCTTATATGGTACTGATGTACGTACGTACGAAGTTCTATGTTGAAACTGACTGACTGACTGATCACTAGTCTCAGTTACTGGATACCCTGTGTGCTGTGTTCAAATGCTAGTTCGTTGAAGGTAGTCCATAAAAAATCTCCTGGATCAAGGTTTGTATTGGCTAGTACTTATTAGCAACCGATTCCTTTAAGGGTTGCTATTGTTATAGCTATCTGTTAAGTACTTAATAAACTGATGCTCGGTTACGGTATTTGCTAATATAACTAGAACAAGTGATCTGTCTATTTTTACGCAGTTGTCAGTTTCAACTTGACAGGCGACATCAAACATTTCAGTAATGTTGGCCTGACTTGCTAATGAGTGCAGACTAAAATGAAACCAAAGTTCAAGAATTTCTCTGAACTATCTTCATACACTGATTCTCATTTTCATCCATAGACAGTTAGAGATATTAGCTATTTCTCTAACAATATAAATCGGTATATCATTTTCTTACTCTGAACAAAAATAACGACATTTATTACAGCTTCTTTCTTCATATTCGAAAAATCCATTTAAACGTTTATATTGTTACTAGTAACATCATCTATTTACTTCATAAGTTAAATGTGAATTTAACGTTTTGGCTTGATTATACGATAAGATATGATACAATCATTAACTTTAAATGGTACTAACAACTGAAATTCCATGGCTTTGATCATCATTCATGCCGTTTTATTTATCAACAGAATTCATTCAATAGTATGCGATCGAGAATCAGTTGGATAATGTACCAAAATCGTTGTAGAAACCTCCACTAAATTCATCTGTCCAAAATAAAATTATAAGATTATGAAGCTGAAAAATCCAGTTGAATGATTCCTTAATATACTACTGATATTCAATAGTAATTTCTTGGCTAACTGACTACGGATATGATCGACTTTTATTTTAATCATTTTGATTGCATAAATAACTATTTACGTGTTAAATATCTGAAAGTATACCAGTCGTAAATAATATAGATATTTATGTACATAGTTGAATGTTTAGAGAATCTGTATAATATCTGTACAATAGACAAATATCGATTACAATCAGTCAGGCGATTCATTAGAAGAAGTAAATGCTTCAACATAACATTATTTTATATGTTGACAGAAAATAGTTGTCAGTATATTATGTGATATTAAGCACTATTTATTATTATTGTAATTATTCTTTGAAATTTTCTGATGATTCACTATACAAGAATGTGCACTACATATATATTTCGTTTACTTGAAATTTGGATTCATTAGTGACAAGTGACAAAAATCACACTAAGTCACAAATAAGTTGAGGTTTGGATAATACTATTCGGACCAAATAATTTGATAGTATCTCGCTTTTAATGAGATTTTAAGGTGTTAGTTTTGATTCCGTGTGATTATCTATGCCGCGTGCTACTGTGAAGTTTGAAACGTAGACAAAATAGGTTTACATTACTCCTTAAATACTATTAGTTCTTTAAGTGACGTTAATTTGTGATGAAAATCAGTTTTGTGCTTAAATATATATATATATATATATATATATATATATATATATATATATAATACATTCAGTAAATTCCACTTCTTTACTTTATATATAAAAATAACTATGAGACGGTGGAGAAAATTCGTAGCTCAGGTGGATGCTTGTGGTGGTGTTTCTGTCTGATGATGTTGTTCAGAAGAACAACGAAAGCTTCACACGAAAAACATCCAGCTCTGATAACGAAACGCCACCACAAAAATAATTGTGGTATGCAGTAATAAATCAAATAATGTTTGCAGACCTTTCGTACATTATACCAACAACAATACAGTCCAATTAGTCCAACTCAAAGAAACGATGCATTCTATGTATATTGATGATAAGTAGCTTCGTACCGAAGTGCCTAATAATAAAATCATGCTACTTTAAAAAAAATCAAAATTAGTCTCAATTTATTCATCTTTTTTGATGAATGTTATATGTTGTAAATGGTGACAATGTCGATACTATTTCATACAATCTATTATTCCAGTAGATTACGTTCATTCAGAAACTAAAATGTTGATTATATTGTATTCATCAAATCAAGTGTTTTTTTAATTTTGAATCAAAAACCAAGTTGAAGTTTGAACAATAATTTTATTACATCAATATGAATAATTCATTATATTTTCGTATTAAAGTTTCATTATTATTGTTATGTGAACAAAGAAACGGACATCATTGACAAATCGTGTTCTCTAGTAAATGTGCTCTTGTCACAGAACTGTGCATGAATATCTAATTCGTTTGTCAGAAGACAAGAATTTCAATTGATGAAAGCGCTTTAAGAATAGAATAATATTAACTTGGTTTATTTCGCTGAATTCTTATCAACTTCTTAAAGTATGGAATTAAAATTCTATCCTTAACTAAAAATAAGGCTAGTCAGAAATAAACAAGTAAACAAGTATTGACAACAAATACATTGCTGTCAATGAAATGTTCGATAAAATTATGATGATTTTATCGTCCAATGACTATTGTAAAAAACGTTTTTTCCTGAAAAGCAATTACTCAACCATCAAACTCTTAGCTTGAATGTTACTCAGTACTATACTTAATAAATGCGCTAAATTGGTTTTACATTTAAACGAGAAAAAATTATCAATCTTTTTTCTTTCCTTTATATTCGAAAGTTATGTCTTACCTCATATTATTTTTCTCAACTTTTATTCAAATCTCGGTTTTATTCGCGTCAGTTAAATGTCATTTTATGTCATTAAATTTTAATGTTTCAATAATCTTCCCTACCTCCATACTTAATTGTAATTGACGTTAAGTTTCAAAGTTACTTCATTCCAGTGATAGTTTTCGAATATTTCAACTGGTATAAAACTAATGAAAATCTGATGATATGTAACAAATTTCTATATTCATATTAAGATATATTTTTACAAAAAATATTTAATTGTTATTATATTTTCCAGCAAATTAAGCAAGCTGTAACTGAAGGTATTGTATCTGAAAAACTGGTGACCTATCATCCTGCTACTATACAACTTAAAATAAAAGTAAGTCTCATATGCGAGTAGATAATTTATCATGTCTACTTTTATTACTACTCATTACTACTACAAAGCTGTATCTCAGAGTGCATTTTACAATTTCTGAACAGTTTGTGATATGTGTGAATGACTTGATAAGTATTAGAATGATAAATAAATTTGTTATAATTTTTATTTAAAAAACAAACTTTCATCAAGAGAGCATCACATTTACTGAATTGTTTATTGTACTAATTTCATAAACTCCAATAATTTTTGCCTGTTTTACAATTTCTAATTAAAAAAGTATGATTATTTCTATTGTATTCTCTCTGAGTTTGCGCTTTATCGATTAAATGACAATCTTCATTTTTATGAAATTTCAGTAACCCCTCCTCGATGAAATCCTAATTTCCGTCATAATTTTAGCAGTCTATTTACTGTTCTTTTTAACATAGCAGAATATTGATTGAAAAATTCAAAACCAATATGTAGATGAGATGAAAAATCTGCGTGGTTGTAAAATTTAGACTGTTGAGGCTGAGAAAACATGAGTTCTTAATTTCCTCTTTTCTTGAGTTTAGACATAGGGACTTTTTCATTGTAATGTTCAGGAATAGAAGTGCTTTTAAAAATAGTAGTCTGTTTTTAGTTTCATTGTTTTCTTCACTTCAAAAAATAATATCATAGCAAGTATATGGTTCATTGTCAAACATTATGACAAATTCATCGGATTTAAACGCATAATCAGTTGGAAACCAGCGTAGTAGCTTAAAGGTCAAGGGATCATCTCCCTGTGACCTGAAAGACCTAGGTTCAATACTTTGTGGTCTCGTTAATGAGTGCTATTAAAGAATCGCATAGTAAAATTAAACAGCTGTCCAGGTTTTCCAGTTTTCTGGCAGATTGCTAACTACTATCACATAAAAATACCTACACTAATCTACTTTGTGTTATCAAAAACTGTTGAATATTATCTAACATGTTTACTATGTTATGCGACATTTTAAACTGCACTTGCATAGAGATAGACGCAGTCAAAAGGAATGATAATTCATAGGAGTAATTAGTATCGAAGAACCTCTACTATTGTAAATCGGTATTCAATCTGCAGTTGCAAATAAGAGAATTTGTTGGTTTTCTCTTTGAAAGATGCTTATACGTGTAAAACCAACTACATTTGAACGAGCAGAAACAGGTATCTTGATTATACAGTTAGTCTTTATGAAAAATCTGTCAAACCTATGGTTTTATTTCGATGCCAAACAGTTAGGGGCATGCAACTGAGAGCGTTGTACTCAGTCCTTGTACCACTCCGTATATGCTGGTATCGCCTGTCCAAAACCCATGGGGAACTGTGCATTCATTAAAAGTTTGGACTAGCACCAACCGCTTTCATAATCATGGAACTTTTCACGCAGTCATTAAAGCTACAACTAAAATTCGGCATCATTAACGATCAGACAACATAAAATTGGTCGTCGCTGTATCTGTTCTGCAACAGAGTGGTGGCAATACCAAATGCTCAGTGGTAACATTTCCAATAACCATCTTAAAGGGTACTGGTTTAAGGCCCTTAGAAACATCAGTTCATTTTCCACCGCATAAACGTATTGCTGACGAGTATTACTTAGCATATACTCTCGATTAACAATTATCTTTTTATTCACTCTAACGATTTAACTCCAAACAATGTGCGCCACGATATTAATTTGTTCTGGTTGGTGATCACACTGTAACTTGTTCAGTAAAACGTAACTAAAACTAAGGATTAAATACTTAAACTATGGTTATTACTGATTGATCAGATAAGTTTCTCAGTTCTCGAAAAACCATAAATTCCTTTACACTTAGTGAAAAGTTTCATGCTTGCTGACAATAGCATTCACTGTGTCAGTTTTAGTGTTTGTTTTTAAATTGTAAGTCATTCAACTAGACAAGACTATGTTTTAGCTCGCTTTGGAAGTGTCTTTTTTGACTAACAATAATTAAATTGTTGTAATTAAATCCAAGAAAGGGTCAAATTTTCACACGGTGCAACTAAACATATTTTTTTCAAGTAAAAGTGGTCAAATTGTTCATAAAAGTCAAACCATGATTTCTAGTCACAATAGACTAATCTATTTTTATATTTTGATTAGGACTATGCTTGATTATATCTATACAAAACACACAACCTTATCGAAAGTAGAGATAGATTTGGTCAATCAAAGAATAGTTAAGATAATTCAATTTGTATATTATTTTTCTCTTAGGATCATACAGAAATAACGGAAAAATAACCAGCGAATATGCAATCGATGATAACTGATTATGTTTGATCATAAAAATGCCTTAAAGTTAATCAGTTTTTTTTTTATTCTTTCCTGTTCTCTCTTTCCTTTAATGTTTTGTCTGTAATTTACTTGCAGATGTAGATCTTTGATTTCTGTGAAAATAATCCTTAGATTATACATTTACATTTACATCGACATATATATATATATATATATATATATATATATATATATATATATATAATGCATACCTCAATATCTGTTTCAACCTTTTAATCCCTAGTAGTTACAGGCTTTAAAAGGAAATAACAATCATCAAAAAAAACCCATCAAATATTGATGGAACGATTAAATGTGCATCATAAATTTGTATAGATGCTTATGAATAATATCATTATAATCAGTAGAGAAATTTTCGAATAAATTAGCATGTGGTTATTTTTATCGCCAGTCGTTTTCCTCTTAAACTTTAAAAACAGTCTGTGTGTTAATTTAGTATGGAATTATTTATAATATGGATATCTAGAAGTTACAGATAAGTTTTAGCATTAGTAGTGAGCATTCTAATCAATCTGGAAAGTAATAAACTCATCACTCAATTCTTAACGATAGGCTTCGTACATACTTTATCACCTTTGAAAGAATGATTTATTTTCTAACCAAACTATCACTGTCAAGTAGTAAATCTGCGATAAAGTATAATTATCCTAAGATTATGTTTTAGTGTTTTTATGTATTTTTGATCCACTGTTAGAAGCTGAAAATTTTTGACTTTTCGAACTTCATTCATAAAAACGTAATGCTAATTTTCATACTGACTAATTTCTGGAAGTATTCAATCAATGTAAATTAGATATCTAGTACGAAACTAAGTGGCTCTATTCATCATATAAAAAAATATGCTTTAAAAACCAGTTATCTAATTTCGAGACTGGTTATCAAAATAATAAACTGTGCTTCGCGTACTACTATAGATAGTAGTAGCGGATTTGACATTATATGTTTTAGTATGTTGAAATTTGAGCCCATGGTAAACATCACTTCTAACAAGCTTCTTTGTATAACCTGGTGATCTTTGGCAACTATAATGTAAAATTGAGCCATAGGTTGTTTTGCCGATTGATTTCGGCCATCTAACTTCTTCATTAGTTAAACTGGCTGCTAGTAAACTTGATTAATGATTATGATTACATGAATCCAATCTGTACCGAGGAACATGCAACATGATGATCTCAGTTAGTCAGTGAATAATGTTTAAGATTCCGATGAATATTTTTAACCACATGAAAAAATCCTAGCAAGACATGGCCTTCATGAATATCTTCATTGCTGATTGGGAACTTCACAGAACTCACATCAACTGGTTCGGGATGAAAAGCAGTTTACATAGTGCACTAATAAGCACAAAATTAATTTTCATTTCGTTTGTAAGTATCATAACAGGAAATTCATTATCTTGTAATGACAAATTACTGTGTATTTTCTTACTTGAAAAACATCGATCAATAATAGAATGAAATATTTCTTATCTACATTTGCGCCTAAATGTACTCGTTTTCACGATGACAAATTTTCTGGTTTATGACCAATTCTAACTGGTAGAAACCTAGAATTTGGAAGTAATTGCTAAACTAATCTAGTGAACCACTTGATGAAAACGCTATGATTTCGATGTTTCCGACTTCGTAACATTACATTGTGATCATCCATCTGCATCGGTGCCACGCTGATTTACTTCGCAGGTTACAGTGTCTCATTAGAGCTACAAAAATACTTACTTAAAAGATAATCACTAAAAGACGAATGGCTTATTCAGAGATATGTGTTCAACTTGACAGCTGTTTTGTTTGATTGTTTGTGGATAATCATCAATGCCTAGTTGAGTCCCTGGCCTAAAAACCAACCTGTTCCAGAGCAAGATGAAATTTGTTCTAAAACTGAGCATACCTAAACAAACGATATGATTATGTAACTAGATTTATTCAATTAGTTTACTATAAACTGACAAGAACTACAATTCTTATTTTGAAATTTATTCCATTAATATCAAACTAACGGATATATTTCTTTCGCTTGTATGTACATGCGTATTCTTTTCGATTCACAGCAATTTCTTACTGAACTTGAAGCACGTAAACCACAAATAGAAAGAATACATTATGAAAAAGAACGTCTACTATCTTGGACAACAAAAAATGCTTCAGTTGAAGAATTAGCTATACAAAGTATGCTATTCATATTACATATATGTTTTGTTTTATATCTGATTTAAATTTTCTATGCATAAATTTTCTATCCATTCACATTCTCTCATATTTAAAAACGAAGAATCTAAAAACCGACAATATTCATGATAACATAACTTGTATACTGAGATAATAATCATTGCATTTTGTTGGTGTACGTGACAGTGAAATTAGTTTTTCTTTGTTTTAGTCGAAACACATTATTTCTTTTTTTCTCAAAATTACCAAGCTTTTGTTTTCAACAATGAATAGACTGTACCAACTAGTAAAGTTTACAATAAAGGCATGTCTGTAATTAAGTTAATGAATAAAAATAATCGTTAAAATTAGATAAGGAAAAAAAGTATTGTCATCTTAAAATTTAACCCAGTAAGCAAACACTACCATATCTTCAGCGTTTAGAAAAGTCAGGAAGATTGAATTTGTCGACTCTATTGTTGTTATTATGTACAAGATGTTCTCAACACATTCTTAGCTGTTTACATGGCAAAATCTAATTAGAAATCAGACCTATGTTCATGGCAGATCAATTTAATTAAGTACATCTGTGATCGTTTTCATGTTATGTTCTTTGACAATGTTTCAACAATTATTTCCAATACTTCCAAGTATTTCATTTTTGTATTTGGATTTTGCATAAAATATATACAAATAATCTTTTACTTTACCTTAAAGTGATTCAATAACTCTTATTGTTTTATAAATCCCCTTTAAATGATCATGATCATTTTAAAAGTCGGTTAATTGTATTAATGCTGATAATATAATGAAATATTATACTGCTTTTGAGTATAGATATAGGTTGAAAATAGATTTCTTCCATTTTCATATATACAAGTCTTCATTAGAAGCGATAAGTTATATATTAATCATTCTGTCCAAATACCCCAGTACATTCATGTGCATATTTAGGTAAATATCGAGGGCGATAAAAACGGTTATATCATACATCATTTCACATTAATTGATCGTTTCAAACATTTTTCATTATCATTTCCTAATAATTCGTACACAGCAAGAACAACCGTTTCTAGATCGATAATTTGGTCAATTGTTTTTAAATTGGTCACAAAATTTAAGTATATGAATGTCCAGTGTAAATTGCAAACTTGTTGATAAAGTATTTAAAATAAGGTTTGTCTTTTTAAAAAAAAACCCACTGAAATCTTATCGATTTTATCAACTTCATAAATACACTAACCTATGGTTGAATAGTAATCATTATCAATCTCGCAATTCTTCCATCAAATAAAAATTTTTATTCAGAACATCTAAGTGAGTACAGTCGAATTTAATCCTATTCAAATATATTTTTTCTAAAATGGTATACCTATCAAAGTCAGCTCATATAACCTTGTGTTTCATAAATCACGATTACTGTTTTCTGAATAAGTTATTTGTCAGTTTGTAATTTGACCAAGGAGCCAAAAATACCAGTGGAATTAAAACGATTAAGTTAAAATTGAAGTGAAAACATTCACACACATTTAGTTAACTTAGATATTATTTTTATAAGAGACTGACAGAAACTGTAGAATGGTAAAGATCAGAGTTCACTGGATACCTGTTTCATTATCAGTACAAAATCAAAATGCCACATGTAACAGTTAAGCTGTATTTTAACCGGTTACATTTATTTATAAACTGTGAGGTTTGTGTTGACCGTTTAATAGATTATTTTTTCTTGATCCGATCAATAATAAAATGAAGGAGGTTGTTTTTGCACACAAAAATGAAGTAGTCTCATTTAAATCATAAAGGTACGATCTAAAACCTTCAAATTTAATAGATTTTATTATGAAAGACATAAGTGAACTAAAAAGTCACATGATTCCTGAATTGAATGAAAATAAAAACTGATTTACTATTCTTAAGATCACGACGGGTTTTGTCCCTTGCGTTTGCGTTTAATAGCATTCAGTCAATTAAATGGAACAAACATTTTATGTGTATCACTTCATGTTGTCTTATCTTATACATTAGTATAGCAAAGCTGACAATCAGTGATGGAAAGCAGTTACGTTGAAATAAAGAATAAATCGATGAAAAATTCAATGTATAAGCAAAAAGAACTATGCAAACATACGGTTTTTGCGGTTTCATTTTCTGAGCTAGGCGGTCAAATTAAGAAATTCACAAAATTTCTCATCCTGCGCTACAAATCTTCCCAACTACTTCAAAAAAATTATGTGGCATTCATCAAGGCAGCTTTTTTCATAGGGAAAAAGCGAATGGATCAGTTAATTTACGTCATCATATATGATAATCTGACATTTCTAAATACAAATTACATTAGTAGGAAGTGACCACCACTGAAATGTAATCTGTTGTAAAAAATGACGAGTTATTCTGTCAAATAGATGAAACCTATAATGCAGTAGAATAAAGAATGAGTGAGTGTGAATGTAATTTGATAAACTAAGCTATTTCAGATTAAATGAAAAAGTTATCTGTCTGATGACATAATCCTGACAAGTGATTGATTGCATGATTCGAGTGCTATTTCACTGTATATTGACCAGTGGTGTACTATTTTATCGCCTTCGTAGAATTTTTTAAATTGATTTTTGCTACAAATTTGATGCATGTCAGTATGCGAATTCGCAATTTAAAGGACCGGGCAGTTTTTTAATGAATTGCAAAGATTAAGTAAACATCTTGCTCGTTGTCATGGAAAAGAAATCTATTCACATCATTATTTTATCTTAAAATTTCTAAATTTAAGAATTTCGCCAAGAATAATCCCTTTTTCGTTTCATTATCAATGGAAATCCAAAACTCAGTTCTTTCGGAAAAGTAACCTATATATATATATATATATATACATATCACGATCTTTTATGGATATATTTTTCTGTTTAAAGAGCTATTGGTTATTACTAGATGTATCATTTTACGTACTCTGATTATTAAAACAACCTAAGTTAAACAAGGATTAGTTGCTTTAAGTATCATTTTAAATAGTTTAGTTTGAAATGTCACGTAGATTAGTGTTAAATCTGCCAGTCGACACAACCTTTGGCACTAGCATTAGCAGAACAGCCTCCCAAGTCGCAAAGCAAAAGTCGGAAGAAAGCCAGAAAAAACCTTCATTCGAGCGAGTGTCGAAAAGTACAGAGAAAACATATGTTTTATAGTTTTTCGTCAAGAGTGAAAACATTAAAATCAGCCAATCCGAAATTATCGAAGTTATGTCATCACCCACATTATGCCACATAGACATATGAGAAATTTAGTCAAGTCATGATTAGATGGGAACTCTTCGGCTTCTTGGGAGCCTCTAGAGGCTTGTCGGAGCCATACTAAAAATTAACTGTATGTGGTGATTGAGTTATTTTGTTAGTACCATGATTTATTAGTTTTTTACTTCTAATAATATTATCACTGTTAGTAATAATAAAATTTATTTATCTTATGAATCAACCATTTGAATACTCACTTAGAACAATGTTCCTCATTAAATAACATTTTATCGTTTAGAAATATTCGTTTCGTTGTAAACTACTTCTATGTTAAAATTTCTTAGAATAAAATTAAAAAAAAAAAAGATTTGAATTAAATTTTACATTTTCGAACCAATGGCTAAGAAATAAAATAATTTATAGTTTACAATTTTGTCTTTCATTTATTGACATCAAAACACAACTTCTCTAGTACACGTATGATGGGTACAAACTAACCTAGTTTTTATCTTCTTTTTTCCAAAGCAGTCACTTGTTTTGATTTCGAAATCATAGAATCTTTCCTATCCTTGGAATAAGTTTGGATTTAAATCAAAGTTGAAAGTAAACCAATGGCAATCTGACAGTGACGCTAATATAATGGGTTTTATTTGAATCTTTTCTTTTACTGAGCACCTGTATTCTTCTAGTGTCAACTTTAGTCAGAGAAACACAGCTCTCTTTGACAGTCGCATTAGATATGTAGTCTATAGGAGTTTCTTCTGAGTTTATTACCGATGTTATTCAGCATCGCATACAGAATTTAACATTCATCCTATGCGATCTAAGACTGACAGATCTATATCAAATGATCACTTGTAACGTCATCCTATCTTGAACTTTGAATAAGTATCACCGAGTCAGTTGCAGTGCAGTTACATCACAGTTGTTTAAGATTGTGTTCACTCCTTCCTAATACTAATAGAGAGGAGTCTTTCTGGATAATAAATAACGTGACGAATGTGTAAACACTTTTTCCTGATCAGAGATATAACCTATAAGATTGGGGTTTAAGTACATTGGTGGGACAGTCTAGGTTGCAACTACTGCTTTACCAAATCTAGTTTCGATTACTGTCTAGTACCCATATGCAGCGCAAACGAAGTATGACTCAAAGGTAATCGTGTAACTTTGTTTCTTAAGCGATTTAAGCATATAAGAATTAGGACCGAATTCTGTGTAACTCTTCGTTAAGTTGATCTTTTTATGATCGAGTAGATTTTTATATTTTAATTTTGAAATATGTATAAACTTATCACTTCTGCGTAACTTTTCATCAAGAAATAAGTAAATTAAATTAAAGATCTATGGAATGACAAATGTTTTTTTCATACCAGTTAATTGACTTCTAACATTAACGAACATGAAATTCAAACCTAGGTTAAGCATATTTAATTTGGTTATGCAATAAACAACACGACGTTAGTCGTTATTCCAAGATTAACTAGTGTTGTCTTTATACCCTCACTACCACGGTTTCGAAGTCGAGTAAGAAAAAACTACTTTGATACACTGTAACTCACAATGAAGTGGACAAATTCACTAATAAAATAAAAACACTGCTTTTCTTTTTGGTTGAAAATATTGGATTTATCATGAAGTTATTAGTAATAAGAAAAATATGAAGAATTTTGGCGTTGGTTTACGCTTTCATTTACTTATTTCTTTAATGTAATTCCACACAAATAAAACAGAAACATAATTTTTCGTTCATTTGGTTTTAAAAATTATCTCATAGTGTTTGACTCAAGCATGATACCGATTAAGTATCCTTAAAGTTAGACTGAATATTTGAGACGGACATTGGTATTTTAGAATAGAGAGTGAGAGTTAGATGAGTAAATAGGAAAGAGTGTAGGTAGGTAGGTAGGTAAGTAGGTTGACAAAGCTGTCGACTGACAATAACCAAATGAAAATGATGGGAAGGAAAGGATGGTTAGATGTTTTTGTAAGACAGACATATCTGTTAGGTTAGAGACACATAAGTATACAGACGTAATGTATATATGTTCGATTATAACTCTTCAAACAAACAAAAAATTACCAACATATAAATTGCTCAAAAGTATTAAATAAATCTCTCATACGGTGTATAGTTATTCAGAATACAAGTTCAATTAAAACAATTTTAAATGGATCAAATTCACTTGGTAACCCGTGTAAAATGGATTCACAAAGATACAAATGAATATGGATGAGAAGTAAACATTCTCAATGTTCGCCTATGCTTTCCTTAACCGATGACGCATACATTAAAAACGTATATGATATAATTTGAAAAGGAATACTAATATACATCTATTTCCAACATCCCTATGACAATATTTATCAATCCAGTATCTCGCTTACTGTCAGGATTTGCTCAAGCCATTATAGAGCTTGTAGAAGATGAAACTACTCCAGTTACTACTAGTACTTATGACACCAAGTCTAGTAGTTACACTACCACTAACAGTAATATCAACAATAACATCAGTAGTCATGTCAGATCGACAACCATCAATGATAAAACTGAGAAAACTAGTGATACAGTTAATCATTATCAGACGACCATGCAAAATAAAATGAATTATTCTGTAATGAAACAATCAAATCATGATATCACATTGTTGGCTAGTGAAACACAACAACAAAGCTTGTCTGCAACTTCAACATCATCGTTTCGGCCAATTTCAGTTCATTGTGATTCAATAAACATTGATACCAACCAAAATTCAGTTCATCCTTCGATGGTTAATAATTCATCATTATTATACAAAGATAATATAACTTGTGCAGTGCGTACCAATGAAATGGATACTGGGATTAACATGGAACAATTTGCCAATCGCCCACAGGAGTATGCTAATGAGGATGTTGATAAGCATAGTTTACATATTGACACTGAAAATAATAACAATATTATTATTCAAGATGACTATCATGATTCAACTGATACAGATTCTTGTTTAACTGAACCACAAATATCACCAAATTATTATCATACAATGGATAGACGTTATAGTTTAGATGAATATGAACCGAAACTATTCAGTTCATCTGTCTTACAATGGAATGAAAAAAAATTCAGTAAAGAAGAAAATCATGATGAAGATGTAAATGGTAATCATCATGAATGTACCAAATATTCTTAGAAAAAATGAGTTTAATAAAGATAACATTTTCTAGTAGACAGTAGCTGTCATTGATTTGTAGGTTTCGATTGTTGAAATATATAAAATAAAATAAAAATTCTGATTTGTAATGCGAAATGATACATAATTTATTTAGGCGATCAGTCTAGTCAAACGAAGTATTCTTACTGGTAGAATTATTAGACAAAATATGCTTATAAACCATTTCATGTATAACTTAATAAGCTTATTAAAACTTGTTGGATTTCAAAATTTGTATGTCAGTCAATTTTCTGTCTATTATTAATTATCATAAATCCTTATAAAATAAATGAAATGATAGTCAGCCTAGTTATTCACTTATTTACTTAATTGTATTGAGCAAGAAAATCTATGAAACAGTTGATGAAAGCATAATTTTAGAATATCTGCATTAATTTAGCTAATGGTATTCTGTTTTAAGACAGTTTTAGAACCTTTACATTTGTAGTGCGAGTAACAGAAGTTAATTAGTGTTTTACGGGTGATTTTTACATGTGTAACATTTTTTTAAATAAAGCCCATAAATAAATACACTACAACACTAGTTAGCTTATAAATTGTTTTTTGAAGGACATTTCCAACTGTAGGAAACAGTTTTAAAGTACTTTCTGTTTTTCAATAGATCCCTAAGTGTCATCAGCTCTTCCTAGAAATCATCTTCATCTTTATCTGTTTCAGTGGAAGCCATGACTAACTACTGACCAGTTCAAAATGATCTAAGAATATGAATAAAGTTATCGTAATTTCCATAAACAAATTATGTCATACCATTGTTAGTATATATCATTTACTATACAAATTCATTTGTTTCATTCTATTCCTTGTCGATGATTTGACTAGAAGAAGCATTTTTATAACCAACATTTATCTATTTATTGTACCATATAAGTAATTGTATGAAGTGCTCGGTGTTTTTTTGTTGTGGTAATCTTTTGTTAATTTACATGTTATACTGATGTTTCTGCGTAATTCATTAAATGTTTTCAAGCAACTACTGGTAAATCCCACATTTGATTGTGACCAATTTGGTTTCATATGCTCATGTGCTCAATCTCACATAAACATAAACATTTGAAATCATGAATCGATAGAAGTTAGACCATCAATAGAAACCTGGAAGCACTGAAAAGCCGTTTCGTCCTGGTATGGGACTCATCAGCAGTGCGCATCCACGACTCCTGCAACTCGCAGGGTTTGAACCCGTGACCTTCGGTCTTGCACGCGAATGCCTAACCTCTGGACCTCTGAGCCAGTATCTAATGGTTTTAATGTTTAACTTCGATCAATTCACAGAGTTGCACAACCTCATACACTGTCTTCGGTAGTTAATGTCTACATCCGAACAGGCCGAACTTCACTGGTCACGACTTCCCACTATAACTCGGAGAAGATTCCTCACGGAGCTAGTCACTAGTGAGCACAGATAATTGCATTACGGGGTTGTGGAGATTGTTAACTTACACATTTGAAATCATGAATCAATCAAAGTTTGACCACTATAAGAAACCTGGAAGCACTGGATGGTCGTTTCGTCGTGGTCTGGGACTCATCAATAGTGCGCATCCAGGTTTCTAATGGTGGCCTAACTTTGATCGATTCATGATTTCAAATGTGTAACTTAACAATCTTCACAACCCCGTAATGCCATATACACCTAGCCAGAAAGAAAATATATTTTTTTGATAATGTTATTGATATTCTTGTTCGGGAGACCAGAATCAGCACTTTTTTCATGCATAAACAAAAAATAGGCTAACTCTAATGTGCCATATTTGAACATATCCAAGAAATCGACATAGCGATAAGTGAACGAAATTGCGAATTTTCTTTTTTACTTTAATCCTTACAAGTATATAACTCATTTTAATGTTTATTGTTATTTTTTGTGTTAAATCGTAAACAGTATAGCAAAACATGAATAAAATCAACTGTGACATGTAATTTCAATTAAAAACCAATGGTAAATCACAAATGGAAATGTTTTTCAATTTTTTTAAACATAAAAAACTAATTAGTACTGTCGACCTACTTTGATTACATTACTCTACATTAAGGACATACAGGTGATTAGTTTTTTTTATAATCTTACTGATTAATGAACATGTTTTTTTCAGCATTTAGATATTGTACCAAAATGCTAGTACATTTTCTTTTAGGTATATTAGTTTCAATTTTCTAGTTTGATTGATAACATAAATTGTAACTAGCAGTTACAGGGTAAACTAATGAATAATTCATGTTTATTTGTCCTTTGTTCTATCTTTTGTCATCAAAAGAGTAAAACGGTTTATAAATACAACGAAAAAGCTTACAAATAGTAAAATCATAAAAATAAAATAGTTTAAGCATCCGTAGGGCAGTTTGGAACATTCACACTTTCTCAAATCTAACTCGATATAATATAATGATGACAATCCTTGTAATCATTATGAATTAGTTGATTATGTTAGCTTTATACATTTTTCTTGTTTTTTTTAACTTTACACTGAAATTTTTTTTAGTAAACTGATATAAACCATAAGTGACGCATTAAATAATTAATAATAATGGCACAATCCGTAGATTAGGGTGATCTATAAATATAACTTCGTGTCGCAAGAAAATCTTGATCCTGCCTACATGACCTTGAGAAATTAAGATGAAATTAAATAAGAGAAGCGCGAAGTTATTGCAGACAACCGATAATATAAGTTCAAGCTTGAAGCACATAGGTTTATAGCTTTTAATTAGCACTAAAATCATAGGCGAATAGGTAATAATCTATTATCACATGAATTTCGATAGTCATAAGAAAAAACTGATCAGTACTGTTTTTCCTATCTATTTACTAACCCGTTAAATGAAACCATAGTTCAGCCATTATATTATGCATATTAGTCAATAATCATTAACGAAACATAAATATTCCATTTTATTATGACCAGCAGCTGGATGTAACATAGAGAGTAATATTATTCATATTTAACTTCAAATATTTTTCATTGAAAGCAGCTCACTTTTATCTGACTTATAATAACCAGTCATTACCCTTAAATCAGATGATATTCCATAGTTGATCTACATAAGCGAGATTATCAGTCTCCTTACCTTTCATCATGTAATTAATTTATACCATTCTTCCATTTTTTTAATCCACCAACAGCCCACCGACAGCCCACCGATTATCGCTCGAGTCTATTACTTCATAATTCTGATAAGATCAATAAAATTTTCCAAAGTTAATTGATTCACCGATTGTAATTTATGAAATCTTTGTTAGAAAAATATGATTAATCTTCTTTTTCGAAGAAGTATTAATGATTATCCAATTGGGAGTGTTAGAAAACACATTTAGTTCTAGATTCAATTAACAAAATAGGACCTGATTCCAAACTGTGATTCAATTTTTTGTACCAGTAAAAAGTGCATGTCTCTCCACCATGCTTGATGATTAGAGCTTAATGAATATCTGGTTCATATTTGGTCCGATGTTTAACGTTTCTGTATTATTTTAATTCCTAGATTTCAGTTTATTATTCACATAGTTTTCGTTGAACATTTAGGCTCAGATTCTAAATACTATTCTCGGTGTACATTTGGTGATTTTTTCTCTCGGTAAACTGTTGTTCAATTATAAATACAATATTACCTTGTGAATAGAAAGGAAAACTATTTTAGTTGTTTTATTAAAGTTCGTTCCATTGATCTTTTTTATAAAAAAAACCGAGAATACCGGTAACCAATGGGTTGTTGAGAAAAGTGTCCACTGTTTGTTTTGAGACCATACATATAAGTTTTGTAAGTAGACATTGTGTGCCTAAGGATAGGTTTTACTTTTGTACACCAAATATACGTTACTCAATTCAGTTAATCATAATATACCTGTGTTTGTAATGACTTAAAGATATATATGAGCGTACACATGTATACCTTTAATTACGTTAAGAAAAATTTTAACTGGATCAAATTTTCCATCAGATTTATTTTCAATGTGAAGATAATGTTCAACAGTTTTTAAGTGAATCAATTTTTTTTTTGAATTCACTGTCGTTTTCATCCTTCTCCTTTTGATTACCATAGTCTCACCTTAGTTAATTTATCAATGTTAAAGTTCAATGGATTTGATTTCTTGTGAAATTCAGATTCGACTTAGGCAAAGGATTATCTTTGAATGACTCAACTCTGAAGCCGAATGTTTCTCAAGAAACATGTCATATTGAGAACGTAGAGTTGGATTTTGTTCTTTTATTATTTGGAATTTACTCATATGTACAATTAGAGTCACAAAGAAAGACGAAATAAATATGTAATGTTCAGTAAAGCTTTATAGCTAAATAACTAACACAGGCTTGAAAGTGAAAATTATTTCTATGTAAGCTGGTTAAAAGTAGTTCCTACACTGCCCTGAACCCTGGTTTCACGCTAGTGCAACTCATCGACAAAGCACACCTATAATCTCTTGGATACTAAAGCTGCACGTGGGATCTAAACCAATACTTTAGAATTTACCAAAGATCCACATATAACTTATTTTAGTTATATCATAAGAGGTTGTTCCCGATTACCAGTTTATCGAATAACTCACAGATAGCTATAATAATGATCGAGAAAATAGCTCTATCATACGACAGATATCGAATTCATTAATATCACTATCTGAATATACATCCTTATTGTGATTTCCGTTATTTAGATTACTTCCACGATCATTTGATGATGATGTGAGATAAAAATGAAATCTTAAATTAATGACCTGGTTGTTAATACTGTGAACTACTTGAATAAATCAAGTTTGGCTTGTAAAGTACAGGTCTGATCTTAGTAAACCGACATATAATAATTCTCGATTTGGCATTCTAAAACAAAGCTACAAAACCAGTAATAACAGGGAATACACCTTATATTGCATCATGCTTCTTAATCAAATACTAGTAAATATCGTAAGTTAAGTTACAATTAGATTTCTGT